TTCCATAAATCTTTGAAGTTTGAACGAATATATACAAGTTTTGATGGATGAATATGAGCTAACCTCGTCTGCCAGAAGCACAATACCTTCTTTCTTGCATAATTCAACAATTTGCTGCTGATTTTCCTCAGAAAGAACCTGAATGAAAACAGCCAATTTCAGCCAATGTCACTAAACTCAAACAAGTAAGGAGACCACCAGAGTTCATATTCCAATAGAAGAACACATACATGCAATATCCTCAAACCTTCACAAAAGAGTTAAAATATCAACAGATTCAACTCGCCTGTCCCGTTGGGTTGCCAGGGTTTATCACAACCAAGGCTCGAACTGTTACACCCTTTGACCTGGCAGCTTCTAATTGACTCTTTATCTCTGAAATCTCCAAACCCCATTTGGTTGCTTCATCAAGGTAGTAAGGAACCTGTTAATGGCAAAGAAGACTTCTTCCCATCAAATTAAATCAGACATTACATCAGCTTTAAAGTTGCCTTATGGGGGCATATAAACACCCACATACAAGCAGGGCAAAAATGGAAATGTCATAGAGTTGCTAAAAAATTTCAACATAAAATGCAAACATACCAGAGTTCCACCATGGAGAGCTATTGACGCAGAGTACAAAGGATAATGTGGAATGGGGCAAAGGATTCCATCTAGCTCGGACCTCAGAAGTAATTGCATCATAATATGCACCTATACATAAAGACAGAATATGAATCCACCATTCGGATCTTATATAGAATGGAGTTATGGACTTGCAGGAAAACTAGTCTATGCATGACTTAATAAAAGCACCTAACCCCAGGGCTAGCTCCATCAGTCAAGAAGATATCATTGGCATTGGATGGGAACCCATCACGAGTTTCAATTCCATAAGCAATTGTTTCACGCAGTCCCTTGATACCCTATCAAATCATTAAGCCAAACAAAAACTCGTTACAGAATGGTAAACATATATCAATTCATAAGAACACTATAAAAGAGCAAAAGCAATCACTTCTTCCATTTGATGGAAGAGGGTATTATTTCCATCCTTCTATTACATCAAACAAGGTAAACAACTACAGTCTTCTCCCTCAAATATTCTTTCCTTTCTACTTTAACAACATATCAATACCTGAGTGTGACTATATCCACCAGTTGTTCTTCCAGGTATTTGATCCAGGATCTGCCTAGCTCTCTCAATTGAATCAGCACTGCATATAATCGAAGAAACAAAGGTGTAAATACTACAGCAAGTACAGCCCCTAACTAGAATATCGATTTTACTGATCGAAAAAAAAATATATAAAAAAAAATAAATAAATAAAAAAAAGAAGAAGAAAAGAGCTCCTTGCTTATTAAAATCAACAACCAACTATACAAAACACTCCGTAGAGACATAATAGCAGATTCCTGGCTTACGTTAAAAAAGTCACACATGTTTTTCATTTTTATATGCCTTAAGCTAAGGAATGAATATAAAGGCATATGGAAAACCAAATCAAGTCAGAAAGAGAATATACCTGAAGATGTTTTGTGCTTCACTTCATCCAAAATGCTTGGAAGACCACACAGTGCAAGAACCTGATACACATTATGGAGAAAAAATACATCTACGAAGTATAAGGTATGATAGATTTTAGTATAATTGATAGTGATAATCCTTACTTTGGCGACTAACCTCCTGGAAAAATGTGATTGGTTGCTGCCCAAGAAGTTGAGGATTTCCCATATCACAGACGAGTATCTGCACATACAGGTAATAAGAAGCTCAAGCCGCAAGCTTGAGACAAACATGCAGTACTGCAATCCTCTAAATTAGTCTAAAATAACAAAAGAAATGTGGTATTCAAGCTTTGACCATAAAGGTGAGATATTCTCATGATAATTGTTGATATTAATGCAATGCAAGATGCATCGAGAACACAAGTGGCGTTGAAGATATCAGAGTTGAATAGTTAATTGCATATGCACAATAACATAGCTTAATGAACTCCCATAACAAAACAACAGCAACTCAGTTACTATCTGCTTTAGCAGATTAACAGTAGCTTCTGTGAAATTCCTTTAAAGGGATCGGAGGAGCAAGGAGACTAGATTATACCTCATCAAAGGGGAGAGAACCAGGATTCTGCTTCAATTGTTCTTGCAACCTCTGCAGGAAGCAATACAATAGCACAATCAGATAAGCAACAACGTTGTTACAGACACATCTACCAAAAAAGAAATGATATTACTCATTTCAAATAATCATACTCCCTCCTATTCTAAATAAGTGTAGCTCTAAAATATTGATCATAGATTAAGGAAGTAGGTTAAAGCCATATTACATGTCCTCTTTGTTTAGATTTAATTAAATACAACGTTTCATACAAAAAACTATTGTAATATATAGTGTCTTTTTAGAATAAGTTTTGATCTAAAGAGTTGGACATTGTAAGAAAGCTTGTCAACATATTGCATTGTAATTGTAAAGTCAGAATTATTTTGAAATATTAAACTTTTTTTTTTCTAAATCAAACCCCAATTAATGCAATCTACATCATATATTCTCTGTTTCACTATAGATGACTTGGTTGATTTAGGCATGTTTATCAATGCATTACTCTAACCAATGATATCTTTAATTACGTATTAACAAGTAAAAATTATACTAGGTTGATACATTGAGACAAACTTAACAAGACCCCATATGGTTATGTTGTTTCTCCTGATAAATCAACAAAGATAGTCAAAGTAAATTATGTGTATAGCGTAAAAAAATCAAATGGACCATCTTGAAAAGAATGGAGGAAAGAGCTTTTACTCCTTACATACAACCACTCTAATTTATAGTTGTGTCCACATTATACATCAAAATCAAGTACAAACACTCGAAAGCATAATGGACATCTAATAACAAGACATTGAATGCTTACATATAAGCATAACAGTAGTACAGTACTGAACTATCTTGTCAAGACTAACAATAATCAAGTTTTAAATTTTTTTTTAAAAAAAAAAAAAAAAAATCAGCTTACCATAGCATGGGTAACAATGGCTCCACGAACAGCAAATTCACATGTCAAGACCTAGGGGTAAAATTATCGTAAATTAGAAGCATATCCTATTAAAATGCACTAAATAAAACAGCATAAATAAATAAAATCCCAAATGGTTAAATCAATCAATTATAAGTTCAAACAAAGATTAAGAAAATAATCAAACCCAAAGTGGGGAGATAAAAGATGAAACCTTTGGATTAATGGTTTCAAGAGTAACTTGAGGAAACAACCCAGAAGAAGATTCCAGTGACGAAGAAGAAAAACTTCTTGTGATGAAATGCAAATACTTCGAATTTTTTGCAACGAATCTCCTCATTATTGTCGCAAATTAATGCTGCAAAAATGTGACCCTGGAATGTTTTGTTAAGTAGAGTAAGCGGGTGTTGGAGTATTTGTTTGTTCGAGCAAAGTCAATGGGGCCACAAACGTATTTACCCCAAGTACCAGGTGCCGAGTGAGCTTTATGATGATTGTTGAAGTTGATGTTAGTCCTATCCAAATAAAGTTGATACCACTCGTGAATTTAAATTATTAGTGTGACAAAGTTCCATTCATCATACACAGGTTCTCAGTAATAGAGTTATGAAAAAAAAAAAATTTAATGTAATACTTCGTACAATCTTTATGATTCAATAAAAGATATTTTCTTTGTCCCTTATCTACGTGTTTATTTTCCATTTTTCACGGGAATTAGAATTAAGGAATTTAAAGATTTCTTAAAACTCATGATTGGGAAGTATAAATGTGAAATGTGGGGTTAGAGAGAGATAAAAGAAAGAAAAGGTAGTTGATAATTATTAAAGAGATCGAGAGAGAAAATGTTGGAAAATGATGTCAAAAGTACAAAAAAATAAAAGAAAAAGGATGACAACTCATCAAAAAGAGTGAATATTGTCAAAAAATACATTATTTAAATAGAAATAGACATGTACTTTTGAAACCCTCAAAAAGAAAAATAGGCATATAGATAAGGGACGAAGGGAGTATACAAGAATCAAATAATATAATTATTGATTACAAAATATATTTGATAGAGAGAGTCTACTTCACAAAGTCCGAAGGAGGTTCCATCCCAACCCTATGGCAATAGGAGGAGTCGCCCCTTAGCCTTATAAAGTAATTAACTCTCTCTTGTTCAACCAATGTTGGAACACTTACATGTGGTGATACTTGGAATGTATATTCTTCAACAGATACCAAGAAATATATAAAATCTTGATATCCCCAACGAATAGGCTATGTGAATAGTATGTGAGTACCAAAAAAGTAATTCGAGTCCTAGTAAGATTTATCATTGGTATTGGAAACTTAGGCCTTGTTTAGTTCACCTTATTTTTACTTATTTCAGAAAAAATAAGTTCAGATCAGATCAGAAAAAATAAGTTCAGATCTGAACATCGTTTTATGTGCGGTTTTTTATCGCTAAATATTCTTAATTTCGTAATGAAAAAAATTGTGAAAATTACATATTAATAAACTACACATTATTACGAATCTAACAAGATCCCACTTGATATATTTTTTCCTTATAGATTATCGTACACTTAAGGTCAAAGTTTGGTCAAATCAGACAATCAGATCAGATCAGAAAAAATAAGTTCAGATCAGATCAGATCAGATCAGAAAAAATAAGTTCAGATCAGATCAGATCAGATCAGCATAAATAAGGTGAACCAAACAGGGCCTTATTAAAAATTCTTTGTTAATTTTTTTTGAACCAAAAGTCCAAACAAATATATTTAACGATAATTTGTATGCTACAATTTAAAAATTGAAAGACATAGTAGAGATGAGCAACAAAATTTGAAAAACCATATAGTCTAATTTTCAATCTATTATTTAGTTTTAATCGGATTGCATTCGTATAATCAGATTAATGTTACATTGGTTAGAAAAAGCTTTACAATGCATTGTATATTGGTCAAAGCCTGAAATTGTTGTGCACATATTAATGATTCAGTTTTTCACTTACCTTAGATGAGTTACATCTAGACATGGTTAAAGATTCATAAACTAACTAAAAGTTAAAATTTTAATTTGGATAATAACAAGTTACATGGATATAGTTGTGTGACAAATAAGTTAATTTTGGTGACGTATATGTATAATAGTGAAGTTGTAAGCTCCCATTAAAAATAAAAAAATAAAAAAAAAATGTAAGATATGTTACTCTTACTGTTCATTGTACCTCAAGTACTCATGTTGGGTTCTTGACACTACAACACTTCATTTTGGACTAAAATCATAAAACAACTTTGCCAATTTGGACATTTGAACGTTAGTACCTGATTCAATGTAACATAGGTTGCGAGTTTGTTCTTGAGCATTTTTTTTTTTTTTTAATAGAGTTTGTTCTTGAGCATTTATTTTAGGTTGGAGGAAATAATTCTAGGATTGTTGAGCTTAATGTTTCATTCCTTGTAATATTTCATGAGTTTTCTAATATTGTTAATAGTTATCCAACTACATATATAGGCATATACTCTTTTTTACAATAAGAGACAATGGCATGTTTACAATGTTGTCTCGAAGGCTACATCAGTGCTTGTTAACCAAGAACTCCCATCAATGAAGTTGCCCACTGTAAACTTCGAGGCCTCATCTGCCGTAATATCGGGCTTAAACCCAGCCCATTTAACCCTCTTGCTTAGATCAGATCCAGGCCCAGTATTTTGGTATTCAGCATAATAAATCGTCGAAGGTGGATCAACTCCATTGACCCATCCTATCCAGCCCAATGGATGTAAAACAGGCCCAATAACAGATTGCATGACCAAAGTAGTGGAGTATTGTTGCCAAGGCCGGCCCAAGTAAGTTGGGGCTGTCACCTGGCCCAAACCTGAGATGGTGCATTTTTGGATTGAGATCCCAGTGTTTTGGTTTACGTCCTTCTTACCTTGGGCCGTTAAGGTGTTGAATTGTTTGGCCATTGGTTGCCTAGGCTGGATCTTACAATATTGAAACAGTACAGCCGCGTTACCAAATATAAAGTCGATGGTTCCTGTGATGGTGCATTCTCGGTAGAATTGGCGATAGGAGTGTGTGTAGAGGGTGTCTTGGTATCCATCAAACAAGCAACGGTAGAAGATAGATTGATCCGACTGAGACCGTAAGGCCACTGCTTGGTGCTTCTCAGCTCCCGCCGTATTCTTGAAGGCCATATCCTTGGCAATAAATCCTTTTCCAGCAATAGCTATACATTAACATTATTAAAGAAAGTATTAGTCTTTAGCTAATGAGTATTACTTATCATTGAATGAGTTATACTAGGGGCCCAGCCGCTTGTTTGATGCATGGCAAAAAATATTACACGTAAAATATAAAATGAAAGATGTAATGAGGATGCATTTAATTGCTAATTAGTTAGCATCCAATCAATTTAATAATTTTAAATCCGCCTTCATGATATACCCTGTTGCCGAGGCTAGTGTAAATTGACGGGCACATGTTTGGGCCACGGCCATAAATAAAGAAGTCATTCAAATTGTTGTTGCAGTGTTGCATAATAATGTCCAAAAAATTGACATAATGTTGCTGACCCAAACCACATGGCATTCACTAATGCTAATATAGTAATATACTATGATTCTATGAATCATTATTTACTCGCCTTCAATTGCGGCCATTTTTTTTTTTTTTTTTTTTTTTTTTTTTTTTTTACGGAAAACCGATCAAAGCAATACTATTACTTAAAGCGAAGTGTCCAAATCACCCATTACAATAAGGTTTATATCACTAGGAACTTCCTCCATCCAAACTCTAAGATCAGCAAAAGAAGAGCTTAATTCGCCTTCAATTGCGGCCAACTTAACGTAACACTATTTGCTTTTCAACTTTCTTCTAACTTATTAAATATCCATAAATGATCCAAAATATGGTCAATTACAGTAAGCTGACTGAATGAAGTAGATTAAACTAAGGTCCTTATTTTAAGTAATTAACTATGATTAGTTTACTAAATTACTAGCATAATCAACATACACTAGCAAACGTATGTAGTGTGTTAATTAAACATCTACAGAGTACTTCACGTATGTCTACCTAAAGTTTATATAGAGTACTATCCGGCCTTGTGAGCAAGAAATTGTACAAAACACTGAAAATTTAGAAAGTATATGGTTCAAGTAATATATATAGACCTCATGTTGCCGTTATCTATACCCCTCATGACTAACTAGATTTCTTGGTATCAAATAAAATTGACATTTGACATAAAACACATGAAATTCAAAACCAAAATCTGAAAATTGGTAACGATAATGCTAATCGAATATGCAATTAGGTGATAATATATCATGTATATATGTACTATTTTAAATGCAATCAATATTCAATATTAAGAAGTTCAACTCAAAATTAGAGTTAGATGTTACATACCAAATGTAGCAGTAGAGAAGGTTGGAGTGCCATCAATGAAATTCAAATGACCAGAAACAACACTCTTATCCATTCCATCACCATACATCATCACATTCCAAACATGTTTACTCAACACTACATTCTCCTCATACACTCCTTCCTTCACATATATCACATACCTCTTCACACTCTTCAACTGCACCGCCTTTATCGCCTCCGTTATCGTCTTATACTGTCCACTCCCGTCCTTAGCCACCACCGCGTCCGCTCCCCCCTTCTCCTCACCTTCCCCTAACAACAACCGTCTCTCGACGGACCCCACCCACTCAGGAAACATTTGGTTATTCCCATCATTCTGGAGAAGTTTCCTTAAATGGAAAGGAACCTTATTATTATAATTATCTTTAAACTTACCCAAAATAGATCCAACTTTACTCACAATAGCCAAACTATTACTCACTAGTTCAGTAGCGTTTTTCATCTTTAACCTCAAGTCCTCCACTAACGACGTCGTTCCATTGATCTCCGACACGCCTTCGACGCAAGTATCAAGGTCAGTTAATACAGCACTAAGCCACGTCCTAAGATCATTCCCTTTCTTACTCGACAATGTCAACTCCAATGATTCTCGGAGTTGATCCTCAGCATCCTCGAATAACTCATCACAATCCTTCAATGCCTTAGCCAATACGGTGTCGTTTCGGGGCTTCGGAAGGATCAAACGAAGCTCCGAAACCGAGTGCTTAGCCACTTGAAGAGAAAGATTGAAGAGTCTAGTAGGACTACTAAAAGTGGAGTTGGATACAAGAGGTGATAAAGAGGTGAAGCAAGTGTCAGGGTACTGAGTCACGCCGCATACTGCTTTTAGTGACTGAGAAGGAGAGGGAGGTGACTTATCGCCGTGGTCCGCGCCTCGGGGGGTTAGTAAGACTCCTACTACGGTGGCGATGACGACGGCGAGGAGGATGATGGCGGAAATGGAAATGATTATGATTTGTTTTTTTAATTTTTTTTGTAAGGCTGCTTCTTCTCCTTCGTCTACCTTACCATATCCTTTAAAGGATTTTATGCTATCCATTTTATTTTATTTTATTTTTTTGATTTGTGGATTTTAATTTGAATGAATTAGATTATAAATTATAAGTGTGTAGAGTACTAGACAGTAGAAAAGAATGAGAGATTTTTGTTTTTGCTGTTTTTGGCGGGTAGATACAAAGATAACAGCTAGAAGATATAGGCCCATTAAACAGACATACAGTTGCCGAGTGGAAAATTGGATGGGTAGTGAAGTGCATTTACGCGGAAACAAATTGGGGGTTGTCCATACTATTGTTTGTGGCCTATTATTAGACGTGTTATATGTGCGCGTACAATTGTACAAATAATTTAATAATCTCAAAGCAATACTTGTAGTTATAATAGTAAGCACTTCATGTTATTATCAACTCATGCGTTAGATGTCGATAAACATGTCACACCTAGTGTTATTGTGTTTTATATATGCATACGATTGTACAAGTAATTTTATAACCTCAAAGCTATGCTTGTAGTGAAAATATGATGGTAAGGATTTCATGTTATTACCAACTCGTGTTAGATGTCAATGAGCACATGAGGATCCTCTTATATCCATTGCCCCCCTCTCATTTTTTTAAGGGCTTAACTATTGCAACATCGGATAAAGTTTGAACAACATATAAGATGCAATCTAATAATTCAATCAATGGTTTTACTCGTTGTTATTACATCAATAGTTTAATACATCATTTGACATGATCAACTCCTTTAACAAGTAGGCGCTTAACCCTTGCATTCAACCAACAATATCTAACACAACAACAAATACGGAGTACAACGAATCGAATTATTGAATGGTAAAATAGTTGACTAGAGACCAAGAGAGAAGGGGAAAGAAGTGGAGGCTAACCAACTTCCTCCTGCAATGAAATTCCCCGGAGTGTATTGCTGAGCCTCGGCGACATCAGTAAGTTCTCTGACTCCCCTCCATTGTACACGTTTCGAAGTGTCGGCTCCTGGACCGGAGTTTTTATACTCTCCATAATGCAAAGTTTGAAGTGCAAACTCACCTTCCCATTCATGCCACCCTGCTGGATGAACCACATCACTTATAGATGATTGCATGATTATTGTCCTAGAGTATTCTTTCCATGGTCTACCAAGATACGTCGGAAAGCTATTTTTCGTGGCTTGTAAATCCGAAGTGGCTCCAATTCTACATTTTTGGATCACAATCCCGGTATTTTGATTAGGGTCTGTTCTTGATTGTGCCGTGATCATGTTCTTTTGGTTCGGATTTGGTTTACGTGCATGAATGTCACAGTCTTGGAACACAACTGCCGCGTTACCAAATATAAAGTCTACCGTGCCAGCAATTAGACACTTGACGTAGAATTGTCTACTTTTGTGGACGTATAATGTATCTTGGTATGCTAAGATGTCACATTGGTAGAATGCTGCGAGGTCTGCTCCTACGCGAAGTGCTACGGCTTGGTGCTTTGATGGACCGGCGGTGTTTTGAAAGGTCAAGTCTCGCGCCAAGAAACCTTCTCCATTAATCGCTGCAATGCAATGCTCAATCAAGTTAATTACTAAGGAGTTATAGGGACAAACCCATAATGTTGTTTGCTCCTTTTTCAATTTGCAACTTTATTTATGGTACGAATTGATACATTTTAATTAACATCGTCAACTAGCTTATTTTTTTATTTTATTTTGACGTTATTAAAGTAGTGAAAAGGACTAATAAGACATGAAAATCAATTAAGATCATCACTTTGAAATAAATTAAATGGAGTCTTACTTTATTATATATGAGATTCTCTTTTTGAAGCTAGGGTGATAATTATCTTTCATTCTTTTATAAGTAAAATATGAAAGGGAATATATAGTAGTATAAATGATTTTTCAAGGTTAATTCTACTACTTTTCTTGATGTTTAGATTATTATTATAGACAGAAAGATGAAAAGATTATACCATATGCATTATTATTGTGATGTGATTTGTGACTTTATGAGTTGTGATACGTACTTTAAATTAATTTCAACAATAATAGATGCCAAATTAATTCGCCGTTGTACAAACATTATATTGAATAATAGTTTAGTCCATTTATATACTATTCAACCGAAAATTGATTATAAGAAAGAGAGAGAAAAGGAAAAGCCAAGATGTAAATTACAATTAACATATGCATGTGTCATATTCAAGCTAAATGGATTGAAATAGCCTATTCAAAACATCGTTAATCATAAAATTGAAATTAAAATAAAGCCATTAATAGTGCACGGTAATGACTCATTATCCTAGTGAATCAACCTGTACTAAACTATTAAAGTGTTTTCTCCATTATTTTTTAATTAATTGCATTATAAAAAATATATTACAAAATTATGCATGTATGTGTCAAGACGAATATAATAGGACCTCACATAAACATTACTTCACTTATAAATCATAAAAAATAGTGAGCATAGTAATGTAATTAAATTGGTAGTGTATGAATAATTGAATAGTATGTATATACGTCCAAATTAATATTGTGATTGAAAAAATACCTATGATTATCGATACTTAGCATCCATTTTATTTTAGTTGTCAAGATTTTCCTTTGTAAAATGTCATAAAACAACCATCTAAAATTTTGCTCTAATAATGTATTCCTTCCGTTTTAAAATGCTTGCTCCACTTTCTATTTCCGGCCGTTATTAAATACTTGCTCAATTTCCTTATTTGGAAAGCCTTTACAATATTTAATTCATTTCTTTTACCTAGTAGACTTAACATAAATTATATTTTATTAATTTCATATTATTTCTCCTCCAGTTCTCTCAACTACTTTTGCTTTTTATAATTTTTTATTCTTCACCTACCCCACTACCTCCCTATTTTATTACTTTCTTCAATTTCTCCTAAAACTCCGCGCATGAAAAAATGAAACAAGTATTTAAGAACAGAGGGATTACTTCTTACTAAATCATTGTATACATGCCACCAATGTAAATGACTATTATTCCTTACTAAAGTTAAAGTAAATGACATTCCCTTTTTTTATGCAAATTATTATATTCTTTTTAAGTTAAAAAAATAATAATAAATAAATAAAAGTAAGAAAAAAAAGTAGAAAAGAAAAAACATACTCCGTAATATTCTTCTTTTTGCCATGCAAATTGCAAAATATAACATGGGGACGATGTATGGAGTATGGAGTATATAGTTTTATGTGCTTACCAACTGTAGCAGAATCGTACGTGGTGCTGCCATCAATTACATTCTTCTTTTCAGTAATAATAGTATTAGTTCTTCCTTCTCCAATAAACATAAGATTTGTCTTCTTCTTACCAACATCCACAATTTCATGATACACTCCTGCTTTGATCCTAATCACATACCTCTTCTTGCTCTTTACCGGGGCAGCCGCCACGGCCTCGGCTATTGTCCGGTGATCACCACTCCCATCAGCCGCCACCAAGGCATCCACCTTTGTAGGACCCTCTTGGAGGATCCTTTTATCCACACTTGACATCCAATGTGGCCAACCGAATACTTGATGACCAAGATCGTTATTAGCATAAAGCTGCCTCGAGTTCTTCTTAGTGGTTGTCGCGGCAGCCATATCAGTGTCGGTCATGTTCTTGATCATGGCTAAGGAGTTGCTACACATTTTTTCTACGTGGACTTGCCCGCTTTGGAGCGTTTCCCTCACGTGCCTATCGGCGTCATTATGGGAGAATCCGTCTAGGCACGTCTCTTGATCGGTGATGGCAGATGATATGAGTGTCTTCATATCATCCGCGTAGTTTTTTAAGGACTTACCGCCTTTATTATTGTTATTGTCATTATGCTGGTAGTTCAGGAGGTCCTGTAAGGTCATCCTGAGCTCGTCCAGGGTTTCATCAATAGAAACCAGACAGTCGTGTAGGGCATTCCTCTCACGAACCGTAAGATTCTTACGTGTCGTGATGAGGTTCTCGACTGTGAAGTAGTTGTGCTCCACAGCCCGAGTAGTGAGGTTTAAGGAGGCAGCAATGACATCCTTTTGAGTAGATATTTTTGTAGTGGTGGTGGAAGGAGCGGAGGCAATGGCCGAGTAGCAAAGGTCGGGGTATCGAGTACTACTACACGAGGATTTAAGAACCAAGTGTGTTTCGGGGGAGAGTCTAGGGTTGTTATTGTCTCTTTGGTGAGATGATCTTACTCCAATGCCGACACCGACAGTGGTGGCTATGAGTACGAGGGAAGAAAGAAGGCCTATCAAGAGTAGTTTCTTGTATTTTTCAGATAATTGTTTCATGATTATGACTTTTCTCTAGCTTGAATGTTTGATGAGAAAGGATAAGAAGGTTGTGATTGTTTTGATGGGAATTGAATTGTAAGAGGCATAGAAGTGGAGATATATATTGGAATGTTAAGGTCGTTTAATGTACTTTATTTTCAAAAGTAATATTGACATAAGATGCTCAACATCTTTGGATCAATAATTGTGCAATTAGATACTTTATCCGTAATATGATAATTATTTTAATATATTATAGCTCCGTTTTTTTTTTTAATTTACAACAACAGAATTTTTTAAGTTTAACAAATAATACCGCAAAATAAACGCATTGAAACTGCAAATGAATTTAAACATAATGCACGTTCAAATTTTATTAATTTAGCCCCTTAGGCCTTAGTAAAAACAGAAACTGCTTTTGCTTCTTAGGAATCAATCATGGTCAAGCAACTTCACTTAGGGCGGGCCTACAATAAAATAATTAAGTTATACATACGAATTACGAAGTACTAATGTTATTAATTCTAATATTACTTGTATACTAAGTTTCCTAAAAAAAATATTAGTTATACTAAGGCTATGTTTGATAAACAGTTTATTTGAGTAAAATTAGCTTATTTGACTAATATGAGCTTATTGACTATTAAATAAGCTAATTTAAGTTGTTTAGTGGGAAGCTTATTCAAACAGCTTATTTCACTAGATAAATTCTTTTTAGGAGCTTTTTCAATTAGCTAGTTCATTCATTTATGGTGAAAAGACATTTATACCCCCATTTAATTTAAAATCCTACCTAAACTATCTACCCCACAATTAGCTTATTGGTCATTTCACATACTCAAACAACTTTAAGTTATCAACTATTTACCAAACATTGTTATACAATCAGCTAATAAAATAAGTTAGTTGATTCAATTAATACATTCAGCCAGTCAAAATCAGCTAACACAATCAGTTTCAGTTTTCAGCTTTAAGCTATTCACCAAACACAACCTAAGTTTTATAGTCCGTAATGAACTAATAACAACATCTCGCTACAATCATAATTCTAATCCATATTCGACACGTTAATGCATGCCTGCATGGCTTGACAGTTTAGTTGTGAAATTTTTATGGTAGAGGCGTATGTACCAAGCTTGGTACATCAACCTTTTATTTATTTATTTTTTTTAAAAAAAAAAAGCGGAAAGAACATTTAGCTGTTTTGTAAATAACATATAGTTGTTTTGTAAAAAACATCCAGCTTTATATTCTTTTTGCATATCTAAACAACATCCGTAATATTAATAAAGAACATGATAATATTATGTAATGAACATTATATATATTTACCCACCATAATCTAAAGACAAAATCTAAAGAACATTTCACAATCCAATGAGCAATGAACATTATGTCACAAATAAAAGCAAATTACACTGACAATCAAAGAACATGGACATTTACAATAATTTATCAATATATTTAATAAAGATTATTATTTGATATATAAAAAGAACATAGTATTAATAGTTAAATGTACATTATAAACAAATGTAAAGTACATGATGTATTTATTCTGATAAAGAACATTATTTAAAAGTATTTTCTTTTCATTCTAAGTATATGTTCATTACATTTTAATACTATGTTCTTTTCACTGTAACTTATGTTGATTACATTTCTATAATATGTTCTTTCCGTTTTTTTTTTAATGAAACATATGTACCATGTGCATGGTACATACGACTCTACGAACCAGGGATTAGTTTAGTTGCGTTGGTACCTTTATATATATATATATATATATATATATATATATATATATATATATATATGCATGTTCGTTATTAATGTAGCTAGAATTTAACGATCAAAAATCAGAAATGTTAAAAGTAAAAAATATAAACTTAACTGTTAGGATATAATCCAACAAAATCTCTTGTGGACAACCAATAAGGAGTATTTTTGCTTTACCTCCTCCACTAAAAACTTATTTTAGTCGAAAAGCATTTATCGTACAAATATTAGAGTAAAAAGTTGGGAACCGACAACCTAAATTAAAGCAACTTGAAACAAATCACGTTTTTAATTAATTTATGAATCAAAGCATGCCTTTTTCTTTTCCTAAAGCATAAAATTTTGGAATAACTCAAGAAAATTAATTAGAAAGATATGGAAAAAATAAGGTTGTGTTCTATTTACTACCTAAAGTTTTTCTAACTTCATACTTCATTTGATCTTCATCCCTTCCATGCCTGGAAATCATATCTTTTTTATCATCAACAAAGTCTATCTTCAAATAATTATCAACTTACTCAACATTACTAGCTAATTCAAATAATTATTAACTAACTCAACATTATTTACACTGCATTTCAGTAGTAGAGTTTTTCCCATAAAGGTTTTTTGTTTTTGTATATTGTTCAAAATTAGATGACACGTTTTGACTTTTGACACTATTTACAAATACTAGTTTAACTAGTTTTTGTAATTTATAGATAAAAAATGTATAGTCATGTGAGATTTTGTTAAAATACTCTAAATGTGTATTTTTAATGTATCAACTTTTTATAAATTTTACTTATTGATAATTAGAACTATTTAGTGATAAATTTATACATCGATAAACGTGTAAAAGAAACGTGTCATCTAATTTGAAAAGAATGGAGTAATAATTTGCATTGTACATGAGTAGACCAATTGTTGGTGAGAAGTACTAATATATCAACCAATGAAGAAACATTTTTTCTATTAACTGCCTTCCTTACAAGATCAAAGCATTGTTATTAATTTGTTATTACCATAGGTTAATAGTAGAAATCGCACTCGATTGAAGATCATCGTTAACCTCTTTGTGTTCATCTCCTTCGAAATCACCATTTTCATGTTGATCGTTTTCCATTGTTTTCAACATCTTCAATTTAAATTTGCAAATTTTCTAGTATACATTAAATAGAATTTATGTTAATTGTTGCTCAATTTTGCTTAGAGAGTTTTTCCTCAAAAAAAAAAATAAAAAAAAATAAAAGAATAAAAAATTGCTTAGAGAGTGGTTTTCAATGGGTTTTAGACTTTTAGTAAGGGTTTTGGACTTTTGGTTTAGGTTGGATTGGGTTACGAGAAGCTTATCCTTTTGTGGGCTGACACGCATATTGGCACGTGTGAACATAAGTTCTACAATTAATTTATCGGAAAGTTGATGTCACATATCAACAATTTTTGTTTATCACACGACATTTTTATTAAAAAATCAATAACTTTTATTTTAAAAATGGGCCCCATAGTGATGATGACTGGATGAAGTTATTGATTTATTTACCAAAATGTCATGTGATAAACGATTTTTATTTATCATATAGATTAACCTGAACTTCCTCGTAAGATAGTATGAAGTATTAAAATACGGAGTATTATTAAAATTTGACATTTTACGGAGTACTCGTATGGGTAATAATGAGCCTGATCTATTCGTGAAAATTTTGAGCTCGACTTCGTTAAAGTTCGGTCAATGCTCGATTTGTGGTGGCTCGGCTTGGGTTTGAGTTTGGTTCAAGACCTTAAACTTCACGAACCGAGCTGGGTTATGCCAATCTCGGTTCGAAAAGTTCGTGAATAAGCTTGATTAGTCTTTCCCATAAAAAAAAAAAAAATTGTATATCAACATAAATATATTTATCCTAAATATCACATAATAATAAGTTGTATTTCATTAGGAAAATTTGCCAATTACTACCGCGTATTAATATCATTTTGAAAATTACTACCGCGAATTAAAAAACTTGTGACTTACTACCGTAAATAGTTTTAAAAATTTTATTTTACTACCAGGGTCTACTAAAGACCATTTATGACGTCACTTAGATCCTTAACTCACGTTTAACCCTTGGTTAAGCTTTTAAACTACTAAAAAAAAAGAAAAATAAATTCCCCCTAACCCATAGTTACCCCCCCCCCCCAACTAACTTAACTAAAACCCCCTTTCCTTTCTTTCTCCCTCATCGATCTCTCTCTTCACCATTTGTAAAGTCCCCCAAGCTTGATGCTCTAAATTCACACTGACCCATCTATCCTCTATTTGCTCCGGGTAAACGTTTAATTTGCTTTTTAAAAATTAATCTAAAACTGTTTTCGATTCTAGGGTTTTTTGAATTTTAGGGATTTTGCAATTTAGAATTTATGGACTACGAGTTGGGTTGATTAACATAGGGCTTTTATATTTTTCTTTGAATTAAACTATCAGATAAGTGATTTGAAGTCAAAGTGTAGAAGAAAGAGAGAGAAAAATGGGTTGGGTTAAGGGGGGTTTAACCATGGGTAGGGTTTTTTTTTTTTTTTTTGGGACATTTAAAAGCTTAACTAAGGGTTATACGTGAGTTAATGTTTAAAGTGACGTCATAAATGGTCTTAAGTGGAGGCTAGTAGTAAAATAAAATTTTTAAAACTATTTACGGTAGTAAGTCACAAGTTTTTTAATTCACGGTAGTAATTTTCAAAATAACATTAATGCGTGGTAATAATTGACAAATTTTCCATTTCATTACAAAAAATATAAACTCAAAGCAAAGTTAAAAAAATAATAATAAAAAATAAAGAAGACAAGTAATCTAAGGTTTTTTTTAAAAAAGACTAGTAATCTAAGAATACAGAGTAATAATAAAAGTTTGCAAAGTTTCAAGCTCGGTTCAAATTCGAATAAACTTAAAGGAACAAGACCGAGCTGACCATAATTTGGGCTCGGCTTTTCGATTAGCACCCCTGCTCGTTTCATTAACCTTCTTTCCATTTTGCCCTCTTGGAGCATTTCACTTGCGCTGCACTTCTCTCTCTTTTCCACTGAAACGTACTCTGAATTCGCAATTGAAGCGGCCTCTGAGCTTTCTCTCCTTCATTGAAGCAACTTCTGAGGTATGATGTTTATTCTTCCTTTAAACCATCGAATATTAACCTCTCAATATATGGTTTAATTTCACAATATCGTTAATTTAATTTTCAGTATAGTCAATTTAGGGCTAAGATTTTATTATTATTGCTGAAGTTGTTAATTTAATTGCTAGAACGTTGTTATGTGCATTTTACGTTGATAGTCTTAAACGAGAAGGAATTTATGTGATATTTTGATACTAATTTGTTGATTGAGTCATATTTGGTTGCTAATGTGTTGCATTTTCGAGCCTAATTGAGCATATGAGCCGAGCCGAATGATTATTGTCTCGCCAAAATGCTCAAATGATTAAGAAATATGGTTAGAAGTGTGGTGGTACTTAGGTATAGTTGCAGGCTTCCCAAGTCATTAAATTTGTGTGCAATTGATAACAAGAGTTAAATTAAAAGAACTTAAAACAATTTATGCGCCGAAACCGGGGTTATTGTATTGTTGAACACTTCTTATTGTCTGTCAGTTTGCTAAAGTGCTTATTGTTGATTATGGTTCTGTGGCAGCTTTGGGTTCTTATGGTTGCTGTTGGTTCAAAAGCATTACCTCTTAGAAGGACGAAGGGTCATACTGTTGCTGATACTTGTCGATTGTTTGGAGAAGACGTTGGCATTGTTAGGCAGGGAAGAAGTAGAAGTATGCGGAGAAAGGCAGATGGGAAACGAGGAAATTCTGATGGGAGTTACCAATCTAAAGGTTCCCATGGAAGTGAATCTGATGGGGCTTTTAAAGATCAGAAATATCAAAAGAAGCAAGATTTTTCGGAGGATGCTGAGACTTCATATATCAGGTGTCTGTTCTGTTTTTACTTTTTCACCCTTTAAGATGATAGTGTGTTTGATATCTTGTTGCCATTTTGTTTGGTGTTTGAGTGCTTACTGAAATGCTAACATGAGTCTAATATACTCATAGGAAGCAGATAGATGCTGAAACGGTGAAATACTTTTCTGAGATTGCGAATGTACTAGAAAGCGGTGAAGTAGAGTTGGAGGAGCGTTCTGTCGTATGTGGTAATGCTTTGGAGGAAAGCAGAGGGAAAGAAATGGAACTTGCGACTGACCATATTATCAGCCACACAATGCAAACATTGTTGGATGGCTGTGACGCTGACCACCTTTGTGGTTTTCTCCGTAGTTGTGCGAAGGATTTTGGTCGGATTGCTATAGATAGGTGTGGCTCTCATGTTGCAGAAACGGCTCTCAATTCTCTATCTAGTCATCTCCAAGATGAAGACTTCTACAATCTAATCAAAGATACTTTAACCTTGCTATGCCAGGTATCATTTATTTCTTTTATCCTTCTCCTTATTTCTACTCTTATGTTGAACAAAAAGGATTTTCTAGTTTTGTCATTTGCTATTATTTTTTATTGCCTTTTCTTGATGATACTTCTTTCTCTTGCTGATATGCTCTCTAGATTTGTTATGGTGCGAGTTAACATGGTTGCTATCGATGCAAAGTAGATCTTGTAGTGCATAGTTAATTGTTCCTAGGTAGTAGCTTAAATACTTGTCTTGGAATTTTTTTTGTTAGCATTTATTTCTCTTTTGACTGACAGGCATCATTCTACTTTTTACTTGCCAGGAAATAGTCCGAAAACCTGTAGTTGTTATGTGCAACTGTCATGGATCTCATGTGATCCGAAGTCTTCTATGTTTATGCAAAGGAGTACCATTGGATTCAGAGTTCCATTCTGCTAAATCATCTACAGTTTTATCTAGAAGGTTGAATCTTTATTCTGATAAAGAGCACAAGAATGAGACACTGATTGTCCATCAAGGGTTTCCAGATTTACTTGAGTTTGTTGTGTCTGAAATGTTAAAGTGTAACCCAACGGATATTGCGGCCCTACAAGTGGACCAGTATAGCAGTTTGGTTCTGCAGGTATGTTCCAAGAGCCTTGGGCATTATAATCTGAAGTTCTAGTTATTCCATATTTTTTCATTTCTCTTGGCCTCTTGCTCTTGTAATCTTGTTATCCAATCGTCCCATTATGTAGGATAACTAAATTTGGTGTGAATTTTATGTGGGAACCTGATAAAGATGGCCAGGTAGCCTGAATAAAAGCTGACTCTTCCATGCAAAAGGCTGGAAACTTTATACAGCTTCAATTGTTGGCTGCTTGTCACCTGTCTGTTCAAATTTGTATAGCCAAGGATTCTGTTTGAGTTATCTAGTTACAACTCTATAACTTTAATACTTGTCTACTTTCCATAATTCTGTGGATTCTGTACCGTGCAGACAGCTCTGAAGTTGTTGGCAGGACAAGAGCAAGAGCTCCTCCGTATCATTCCTGTTATTATGGGCTGCAATGTGGAGAATGCAGATCAAAGTTACTTCATAGAGACAACTGAGGTTCAGAACATCAGAGATTTGGTAAAAGAAAGTGCATTTAGCCATTTAATGGAGGTAGGATTTTATGTATGAAAATTATTTGATTTTTGTTCATGAACAGTAATTTCTGCTTCAAATTACCACTGTAATTAATTTTGATTTTAATAGGATCCAATTCTGATTAAAAGTTGTTTTCCTTCCTGGATCACTCAAGAATTGTGAGTTTGTGACTGTCTGAAATGTTGAGCTTTATCTGAATTTTAGAAATTAGAAGGTAAACAGATGAATAAAGATAAAAATGCCACTCTTCTTATTTGATAGAGACCCACTATAATGACTTGGTTATCCTTTGTGACTCGCAATGTTACTAAATTTTAGTTAAGATTCGTTGAGTAATCTGGATAAATAACTGAAAAATCTGCTATAAGAAGGTGCCACCTAGTTTGCCCTCTTATACACCCATGCTTGGGAGTAGAAACTGATTTTACCTGTTTGGTTTTGTTTCAGTAAGTTGTAGTAGACTTTCAGTTTAATGTAATTTATAAAGGTACAAAATCAAGAAATTCTTACTTCATTTTAGTGTTTCCTGTATACTCTCTTCATCCTCTTTCCTTTTTCCTTTATATACTCTTCCTCTTCCCAATATATGGCAATGTACCCATTTTGTCACTGCTGGATACAGTTATATTCATCAAAGGATTTAGCAACCTGGCCTATGTTGTCTTGTTGTGTAGCTTGCTACATATTTTCATGTCAGTGGTTATATCAGAAATTACCAGTTCAGTTTACGCCTCAGTGGTTATATCAGAAATTACCAGTTCAGTTTAAGCCAAGCTCATAAGATATATTGAAGAAATTGAGTCAAAGAATCCAATAGTGTTTCACTGTTTCGGGCTTCTTTAGGAGGCAAAGGTGTGGTTTATTGTAGGTGGTAGATGGAAGGATTTAAACATATTATCTCTGGGTGTATTTTATTTCTCCCTTCATCCTTTTCCTTTTTTAATTGAAAAAGCTGCCATACTTTGCAGGTCATATTGGAAGTGGCTCCAGATACTCTGTATGATGAGATATTCATGAAAATCTTCAAGGGTTCGTTGTATGATATTTCATGCCATCACTATGCCAACTTTGCTGTGCAAGCCTTAATATCTTATGCAAGAAACCAAGATCAAGTATGTCACTTTCTATTGCACATGGAATATTGGTTACAATAGTGCTGCATAAAATGCTTGAGCATCAATGTTAAAAATCTTATCCTCTACTTTTTGACAGATAATTATATCTTGTCATTTTGTGTCTTGAGTCAATCAAACATATGCCAAATCTTGTAGCAATTCTTGTTGTATACGTTGCGTAATCCATTCATGTTATCCTCTAGGTAGGTGCAATATGTGAGGAGCTTGGACCCAGAATGAGGGATCTCCTGAAAATGGGAAGAGCAGGCGTTGTTGCATCTTTGATTGCAGCAAGTCAGAGACACCATGCTTGTGAACACAAGGTACAAACTTCAGAGAGCGCCTCTCGTGTATCTTATGTTGTGCTGCAGTAGCTTTATAGCAAGCTGCAGCAATGATGATGTCAATTTCCTCTATGTCTAAGCAGCGCACTAATAATATATTTTGGTTTTCCTTCCTGTAAAATTTATTTACGCTTCAGTAGATTTGATTGTAGTTATTTTTTTTTGTTTGACTGACAGTGCTCTAAGGAGCTTGCAGCTGCTGTAATCATAGCTAACGAGGATCCGAATTGCATTGTACCTCGATTACTATTACTTGATAATTACTTATTCTCCAAGGATAAAGCAAACTGGAGCTGGACAAGTGGCTGTAGAGTACATGTTATGGGCTCTCTGATTCTGCAATCACTATTTAAGTATCCAAGTGTATGTGGCCTCCTGCTTTTTTTTTTTTTTTTTTTTTTTTTCCTTCATACAGCCATTTATGTATCTGGAGAAAATAAAAAGTGCATGTTAGATGAAAATGCTTCTCTCATGCTTGCATTATATGTACTTTGTATATCTTTTCAGAAAGATTCAAGAATCTCTTGCAATGTTTCCCAAACAAGAAAAACATCAACTGCAGCACAGTATTAAGCTTTAAGCTAGCAAAAGTAGGACTCAGGAGGTCTAGATTCACATTCATTATCTCTATAATGTATAGATATATTAGTGAGGCTATGTGCAGAAAGCCTATGAGATCCTCCCCCTCCCCCCCCCCCCCCTCTCCTCCTGGGTTAATTATGGCAAGCATAAATTGAGTAGTAATATAGCAAATATAATGATCATCTATAACTTCACCTTTTATTGCTAATAACCTTCAGATTTAAAAAAAATTATTATTGCTATGTCTTCATAGTACTTGGAAGAAATCTTTTATCCTTCATAGCTGAAATTCGTATGTGTAGTTCTTGAATCAGTATAGCTTGTTTATTGCAGGACTGTATACAACCTTACATCACAAGCATCACATCAATGGACAGCTCTCATGTCCTGGAAGCTTTGAAGGATTCTGCAGGAGCACGTGTTATTGAAGCGTTTCTGGGTTCAAAAGCTCCTGAAAAACAGAAGAAGAAGTTGATTAGCAAGTACAATCTTGGCCCTATTTTCTATTCAATTAAAGTTTTGCTTTCCACTTGTTCCCCAGCGTTGCATTCTATAATTGATAAAATATGATAAAGAAGCTCTCTGTTTATCTTTATCTATTTCTATGCTGTGACAAAAGAGAAACTATAGAAGACTGAGTAACAAAGTGTATAGGAGAGAGTTAGCATTTTGTCTTTTTTTCAGGCAGCCAGTTTTCTGATTAGCAAATTATTTCTGTATATGTTATGAAGGTTGAAGGGTCATTTTGGAGAGCTTGCATTGCATCCATCGGGCTCTTTCACTGTTGAAAAGTGCTTCAATGCTAGTGATGTTCCATTAAGAGAAGTGATAGTTTCTGATATGCTTGGTGTTCAGAAAGAACTTTCTAGGACAAGGCAGGGTCCTCTTCTCCTGAGGAATCTTGATGTCGATGGGTAAGCTTGCTTAGCTCTTCTCTCATTCTTTGAGCAGTATTATGTTAGGTTGATCAAGGAGCATAATTATGAAAAAGGGTTTAAATATGTGGCAGTGGAAAGTCAGTTGCTGCAATTTATATGATCAGCTTAAGTTTCTTAAGTCAAAATTGGATGCGTTAATATGTAGCTAAGTAGCTTGTTGTGATCCTCATCGTTGAATTGCATAGAGATTTTGATTAAGCATGCTGGACCATCTGGGTTTAGATATTTTGAATTCAAGATTAAGCTTTAACTCAAGCATTTACGAGATTTTTTTTAAGACCAATGCTTTCTACCTATTTTTGAATTTTTTTATTATCATCTCCTGTCCAGTTTCTCAAGACAACCCGAACAATGGAGATCTAGACAGAAGTCTAAACTCACAGTTTACAAGGACTTTTTAGCCGAATTTGTTGATGCAGAAAGTGTCTCCTGGGAAAAAAAGAATCCTCCTACTGCCGATCTTTCTAAGAAAGCAACCCAGCAAACGAATATAAAGAAGATGAGGCAAGAGATTGACACTGTCTTGGCATCATTCACAAGCTCAGATTCTTCAAAGAAGCATAAAAAACAGAAAAAATCCGGTAAAGAACAGGCTGATAATGATGTTGAACAGAAACCGGCTGCTGACAAGAAAAAGCGTAAGCATCGCCAGAAAGATGACCTGTCAAAGTCTTCTCGGAAGAAGCTCAAATCCTGAACTTGCAGATGCTGTAACAGCTATATCTGCTTAAAATTTTGTTGCTCTGTATTGTAATTGTTTTCATAGAAAATTATCTTTGTAACAATTCCCTTTTTCTGTGTAACAATAATATCTAGGAAATTTTGACATTGGAAAGTTTTATGAATTAAATTATTGATCTTGGCTTTGAGAATTCTACCATCATATTTACATTGCATACACTCTTATCCTAGTAACTTTCTTCTGTAAATCTGGAACTCATGCCCACATTTTCTTTCTACAATTTTTTGCCTTCTTAGTATTCGCGTCATGAAGCATTTGTTAATGTATACAATTGGGATGGAACTTAGAGAGAGTATAATTTAACATCTTCAGAAAATGATATCAACAGCATAAGAGATTTGAGACAGCAAAATTGTGGTATTTCACTATATTATATCAGGAAAATTTGTTCTTAGAGATATAAGAAAAGCTCATCATATACACTAAGCTAAAAGCTGTCCATTACAAACCCCCAAAAAAAAAAAAAAAAAAACTACTCTACAAAACTATAGACTATGGATTGGAAACCTTCATCCTTCATCCTTGAAGTGTAGGCTTCAACCTGGCAAAAAAAACAGAACAAGAAACACACTATCTGAGACAACTAAGAAGCATGCAACTGTTCTTTCTGAAGACCTGATCAGAATTAAAACCAGACTTTACTTGTTCTGAGTAGGATTCGATCTACTCGGAGGTATCATTCGAAAACTCGAGTCTACTTTCTTGAAGGGCTTCTTCATATCGGATCGAAGATGTTTCAATGTTTGAGAGGAGACACCAAGTAACCTCGCTTGCGCCCCACTCGACCACGACAGCAACACCAGTGCAAAAACAAGAACAAGAACTAAGGTCTTACATTGGACTTTCATTTTTTTAGTAACAAGTTTGTTGAACAAAGATACAGTCTCAAATCATATGAAGTGATTAGAGGTTTAGTTAAATACCAATAGTAGAATCTTAGTATACTCTTGGGGATCTGAAGAAGGTGGGATCATGTGCTACTTTGTTTGACTATATGCATGTTTGTAGTCTGACCATTGGATTAACTACTAACTAAATACTACTATAATCTGATTAATCTCAGAGGTAGTCATGTGATCTATCACGTGATAATGTTAGTTTAGTTTTCTTGAAGTTATAAAAGGGTGATAAACTAATGCATGCTTCTTTTTCTTTTCTGATAATCTTAGGTTATTTTATTTTGCTAAGTTATCAGAAATCAGAATCAGAATACTGCATACATATTACTCGGTTACTCCTTGTACTTCTCAATCATACAGCTGTCTTAACGAACGATGTTAGCATTTTTGTCAAAGACACTTTTATTGTTGTCTCATTTCTTATAACTTGCATTTGTTAATTAGTGCCTCATCTAGTCATCTACTATAATTTATTGTTAATGAGGGCCTTAATAAAATGGTTTTCAATTCTCTTAAAAATTTAACAAAAGTGTACTTTGTGGATTATCATTTAAGTTTAGTGATCTGATGTGTAACATGTGTTGTTATATCTATATACTTTCTCCGTTTCTTTTTAGTTGACACGTTTCTTTAGTCACGTTTGTCAATGCAAAAGTTCAACAATTAATATCTCTAATTACCGATAAACAAAAATTATGAAAAGTTGATATTTTGAAAATATATATCGCGACGAATCTAACAATATCTATGACTATATTTTTCATTAGGTATAAAGCACAAACAATGGTCAAAGGGGAGTGAGTGAATAGTGCTAAAGTCAAAACGTATCAACTTAAAAAAAAACGGAGGTAGTATATCTTATCAATGAAATGTAAAAGGCCTGTTTGTATACAGTAAGTTTAGCCGACTTAAATTACATAAAATTGATTTTATGTGATTTGACTTGATGCTAGTTACATTTGAGATATTGCTAGATTATTTGGAGTTACATTTATGAGATTTGGGGGTAATTAATCTCGTTAACCTCTTTTCTTATGTTTACACTAGTTCTATATGCATATGATGCGAACTTTAAATTAAATTTCTAAACATACATGCTCCAATCATTAAATATTAAGTGGATTTTATATATTTCATATTATTTTCATGTGGACATGACTACCTAAAGTTGGCAGACCTATCACATTATCACAGACATGTGTCTTTCCTCAACAATTTTGACAATTGCAACATTCAACATATATTTTGAGGTAAATCAAGCTGTTGATTGAATGGTTAATGCTGGTCCATTTTTATTTATTTTTTGAATAAAGTTAATGCTGGTCATTTAGTTACTAATCATATGGATTTTTTATTTTATTTATTTATTTATTTATTTTTATTTTTTTTTGGTAAAAAGCATATGGATATTGTACCTTGTAATAATTTTAGTTTATTTTCTATTATTGTATATGCATGATGAATTGCCCTCGGGAGAAGGGTCTCCTAATGTTATACTCTCCCATTTTTTTTTAATTTTCTACTCACTTGCATTTTGTGTGGTCCCTAACACGCATGGTTGACCAATAATAACTTTAACTGTGTGTAAAGGATAAACTATGAAGATAGGGTATTTATATAGCTAAACATTGATACAATTCTAAGAAGATCACACATGAATACATGATAATTTTTTGCTTTGTACATAAGCTGCAATATATGGTCAATGTTTCATAAGCTTGAATAATAATGAATATTAAGTGAATAAAACAAAAAAGAATGAATGTAGTACTGCCTTTTTCTAACCTTTCAACCCTAAAAAAAAGACCTTAGCCTAGTGATAAGGTATGTTCATAACCACTATTAAAAAAGAAGAAAAAAAAAAGATAGGTTTCATAACCATGAGGTTGTGAGATAAATTCCCAAAAGTAACAACTTGAGGGTGGGGATTCCTTCCACACTCAAGGAGTCTTGTCCCGCTAACTCGAATTAGTCAATTAGGTTGTCATGTAAATTTGGAATAGGTTGACGTGTAAGAGGTTATGGTTTAGTAGAGGAGTCATAACACACGTTGGTATTTAACATGATACCAACAATAAATTATATCGATACCAACAAAACATTTTTGCATTCGTTGGTATCACTGAATAAGGTTGTTGGTATCATGATGATATCATCTAAAGTATAATGAAATACCAACGCGTGTTTTGACATTTTTTTTTTCTAAGTGCGGTAAAAGTGAATGGACAGATATGCCCTTATTAGAGTCATAAATGACTCTAACTACTAGAGTCTTAGAATTCCTCTTAGTAGAGTGGTTTTTTTTTTTTTTTTTAATTTTTTTTTATACCTAAAATCTTATATATAATTTAAGAGTTATTTTGCAACACTTCACTACAGCACTCCAAAACCCCAACTCTCAATTCTCATGCACTCCGTTTTTTTTTTTTTTTTGAAAAATAACTTCAAATAACTCCCACAACTCCAAATAATTAACTTTAAAAAAAAAAAAACCTATAACTTCCTTTCCAAGACAAAAAAAAAAAAAAAAAAAAAAAAAAGAATCTATAACTTCCATTTATAATAATTTTTTTCCTAAACATACATATATCCCATGCATTAGCATGGGCAGTTTGTCGGGAGGGAACAAAAGAATGAGGTTTGTTTCACAAATTCTAAGAAACCAGATACGTAGCTTAAGAGTAAACTTCGTTAATCCACGCTAATTTAATAAAACCATACTGTCTGACCGGAAGGAGCTTAGCCTGTCCGGAGATAGTGGAGCTAAAGACAGTAGACAGTACCTGATTGATTCAATACTCCTTGCAGCTGGCTGCTCCCTTCGCCAACAAATGTCTTGTATCTATTAAGAAGGATTTCTCTTCGGGTTCAAACCTTGAATGCCATACCTTGCGGAAGGCAATTCGCGAGAGAATCGCGCACAATTCTTTTTGACCGAGATGTGAATGCTCGTAATTTCCATCTACTTCCGAGATTCCTCCTGAAATATTTTTCAAATACAGAAGCTCCGCATCTTCACCCAAATTAGTGAATTAAACCGGATTCTTTTTTGAAATTGTTTCACTAGTTTTATAAATTGAACATCATTATGTTAGTTAATTTTCTTTTACATGAATTATTAATTAAATTTTCAAATAATGTATTTGTTCCAAATCACAAACCCCTCAAAACTATTTACTCCTAAATAAAGTAGTCAAATTGTGAAAGATATGTTTAATGTTTTATTCTAGTTTATTATTTTCACTTTTAGCTTCTTATAAGCAATTCTTCTTTTCTATAAACAGTCTAAGGTCCTGTTTTTGTTAAGATGTTCTGCTCTGCTGAAATCTGCTCTGCTCTGCAGTGTTGGAAGTTCTGTTCAGAAGCTCAAAAGAACAGGGCCTATATGAATAAAATTTACGTGAATAAACCTTAGTAAATTTGATAAAAATCAAATGAGGTATAATTGCAAATTTGCAAGTTTAATAAAGAAATAAAGATATTGTTAGAGCTCTTTCCCAAAATAATGCTGGGAAAAACTCCAATTCCTTAAATACAACTTCTTTTTCTTTTATTCCCTAAATACCGTCCACGTAAGCAAGTTAGAAAAACCCTTTTTTTTTTTTTTTTTTTTTTTTTTTTACCGGTTCAGGGAGAAACCGCTATTTGAAGTGGCGGTTTGGCGGTTTTCAAATAAAGACCGCTACTTCAAGTAGTGGTTTTCTGCTATAATTTTTTTAGAAAAAAATATAAAACTAGCAACATAAATCTTTCAACAAACAAATAATCAAAATACAAAAGCAGAGTTTACATAATTATAATACTCCAAGATTGATAGTAATACTTAGAAGAAAACAAAATAGAGCCAATTATGATTGATAAAATTCCAAATCAAACAAAAACAAAACTTAAAAAAATGAATAAATTAAAACTTAGTATGTTTAGGTCTGGATTACACAATTACAAAAATTGAATAAATTAACAAGTGAATTGAAAAAATAGAAACGAAATTAGGCCTAATTTAACAATTGAATTGAAAAAATAAAAACAAAATTAGGCTTAAACTATACTAACCCTCCATTATCCCTAATTTAAACATCAACCATCTCTAGCGTCAAGCGTCGCTCCGATGGCGGAATCAGATGGGTTGAATAATTTTTCTCCATGTTTGATCAGTGTGAGAAGTCTGAGAATGAATGTCGTCCTTGAGAAATATTTTTTTTTGCTTTTACTAGAAGCCAAAAGTGAGAAGGTGAGAGAGAATAAAGTTTAAAGTGTTTTTTTTTTTTTTTTTTTTTTTTTTAAAGCCCTAAAACCACCATTTCAAGTGGCGGTGTACTAAGATAAAAACCGCTACTTCAAATAGCGGTTTTCACATAAAACCGTAAAAATTATAATTTGACTTGAACCAGTGACGTAGTCGATATTGTGGAAATTTATAAAAAAGTGACTGTGTTTGTGGAATTGAGTTTTTTGGCTGCATTATTATTTAGGAAAAAGGGCTCATATTGTTATAATCTACTCGTAATACTAGTAATAAAGATATTGAAAACCAAAAGAGGCCCTTTTCCCAGCCACCCCCCAAGAAATACTTACCAAAAAGGGGGAAGAAATAAACAGCAGCACATGAATTTCCATTTTCACGACTGATTATGAGGAGAGAGATTACGAGATACGATTATTGAACTGCGATCTCTTCTTTCGTCTCGCTATCTTCGTAATTTAGGTATTTTGCTTTCAATTTGATCCCCAATTTCTCTTTTCATTGATTCTGTAATATTCGATTTGATTTCGTATTTTTGTAGGGTTTTCAATGAATTTATTCTTTTTGATTCACAAATTATGATCCAATTGTCGTAATTTTGTTATTGTTGATTTGTAGGCGTTCATCTGCTACTAGTAAGGGTTTTGTGGTTGCTGATTGATTGGCCTCTTTGTTTAAATTGTTTTTCTTGGTGAATTGATTGTTAAGGTGATACTTCTTTCTTACTCTTCTTTTGTTTCGCTTGTATTTTTGGAATTTAGGAAATTTTAATTATGTAGGTTTGTTAGCAAATTAGTGGAGCAAAAAAAAAAAAAAAGGGAAATTTAGATAAGAATGTTAGAGAAGACTAGTGGGGATTGAAGAATCTGACTGCAAATTGTAAGATTCTTGTTGTAGGGTTTGTATGTTTGTGAGGGTTTGGTGTAGGCGTTTTTATGATTAAAGTTACACTCTTTGTATTTCAGGATCTATGTGTCTGTTAATAGCAATAGAAATTGCTCTTTGAACATTGAATTCGTGCTATCTTGCTGACAGACCCGAAAACGTCAGTTTATGTATCTTGTTTGTCAAACACCATTTTTGTTGAGGATTCAGGGGCTTAGCAACTACTCTGACCTTTCTTTACTATTGAGGCTGCCGCTGCGCAGGGAGGGGGTAGGCTGATCGTCTGATCCCTTAAGAGAATGAGGTAGAGAGGAAGGAGAGAAGAAAGCTAGGAAGTGGCTGAGAGGTTTGAGAGTGAGAAATTAAAATAAAATAAAATAAAATTGAGTGAGGTTAATATTGTTAATAACTAAATACGTGGAATAAGGTATGGGGTTTATGTGTCAGTCATTCTTAACCTAGGTTTGATACTGAAACACATAGTTGATATCTTTGGTTGAACCAAACTGCCCCTTAAACACCACTAGACCATTTGGATTATCATCATACAAATCCACCTCTAGGTCCATTATTATCTAAGCTACCACCATAATTTTGTCTCATACAGACTTGAAAAGTTCCATCAAACCTATCCAACTTGCCGTAGAAAACTCAAATTGGAAATTATGAGTTCTTCATCATGAATTGGCTACACCACAATGCAATTTGCCAATTTTAGTAATAACTTCATATGAGTTTGGAATCATGAGATTGTTCCCACTGGTTTCTATAAGATCAATTCGTGTATGTCACATTTCCAAAGCTTGAGATACTCGCTGACTAAGTTTCTCCAATGGCTTCTGATTTTCAGTTCTGCTTGGCTAGTGCTTGCCGTGAATCTCTAGATTTTGTGCTTGTATTTATATCATTGCTCCTCTGTTATCACTTGTTATATATATCTTGAGCATCACACCCTGGAAGGCTTGGATGCTTGCCACTCAAAAGTCTATCATCATTGACCTTGTTTATGTATGAATTGAAACCACTTATTTATTTGGTAGACCATTACATGACATGACATGACATCATTGACGTACTCAGCTGGCTTCTGACCTTAAGAGCTTATATTGATGTTTTTGGAGAATGCAATGTGTCAAGTCGTCAACTTCTTGTTTTGGTTTGGGATTATTGTTTAAGGCTTTAAATGTAGTTACATTAGGCAGACCTCGATCAGCCAGGATTTTCTTGAGAGTTAACATTTTTACGTGGTTTCGGAGTCAGATACAAGAGAGAGGATCAGAAGAGTGAGATAAAAAAAAAAAAAAAAATAGAAAAGTTAGATATCTGATGGAGCAAGATAACTAAATGGAGCAAGTATTTTTTTAGACTGGTAAACATTTTTTAGTGTTTGGGAGCAAGATACAAGGAAGAGGGTGTAAAAAGATTGGAAGTTGGGTATAAATTAGGGTTTGGAAGAAGTATCTCCTTTAATTTCAGAAACTAGTTGCTCGTTGAACTAATTAATGTTTTGATTAGGCATGTGTTGTTATTGTTTCTAATTAATATAGCCGTTCTACTGTTCTACCTATTGATAGGTTTTTTATAAGGATTAATAGGTTGTATTGTACTAAAATAGCTTGAGGCTTTAAGTTTGTGGGAAAGTGGTAGTGTAAAAAGGGAGCATGAGTTGAGTTTGGATGCATTAATTCTTTAGCAGTGATTTTCTAGAACAAGATGATTTTGGACTATTTATTGGGTGTTCTACCACATTTTATTAATTTTCATCCTTTAGCTGATATTAATTTTAATTAGAAGAAATGACTATGTAAATCATAGCCAGAAATTTATGTATCACAAAGAATTAAGATTGGGGTTCGAAGTTAACATTTAGTGAAAATTGATATTGAGTTGGACTTTCAAGTTTGACAAATGGAAACTATACTATCTCAGTTATGATCGTTTTAGTTATGTTTTTGGTGTACCACATGTAGACAAAAATGTCCTGTTTTGTTTTGTAGCTCTTGTGTTCAGACTGCTACTTATATTCCTTGGTGAAAATTTTAGGATTAGACATGTTGGGATGTTCTTGTGTGCAAAAGCTGGTTATATTCTCATTTTGCATGTTTGTTTCAACCTTCTTTGTACAACTCCCATAGTCCTTTCACATCTTATCTACTCCTCGTCCACTGCTAGGTACTAGCTCCAATGATGCCTTTCTCATAATTTTTTTCTCCTGGCTATAACTGTTATTCCCATTGTTTGTTTTACCAAGAATTGATCAAATGCTCACTGAAATTCATGCCTTTCTTTCTTCACTTTTGATGTTTAAGGGCAAGGTTGCCTTTTGATTAGTTGTTTATCAGTGTTGCTAGCATAAATTGATTGGATTTAACACTTTTTTTCCAAGATGTTGCATTTGATGGGGTTGTCTTGACTCTTTAACTCTGGGTTTTTGTTAATGTTCTAGTTGTGAAATCAGTTTGTTCTGTCAATCCTAATTGTAATTATTTCTATGGTGTTTTTTACAGTTTTGTTCTGAGGTTCAAGTTAGGAGTGTTTTATTTGAAGATTATAAATGGCTGAAAAAGCTTGTGTCAAACGTCTTCAAAAGGAGTTTAGAGCGCTCTGTAAAGTACGTTTTATCTTTTTTTTCACTCCTATTGCTCACCAGCCGGTTTCTTACTTTCTTTTGAACTATGTTCTATATTTGATGTGTATAATGTTTTACTGGTTTATTTGTCTGTATATAGCCTTATTTTCATCTCATTTGTGGATCTCTTGCAAACTGCTTTCTCTCTTTCTCTTCCAAACACTCACACACATGCACAATTTTTTTTTTAATTCACTTTTTTCACCCACTTACCCTAAAATCAATAAGCTATTCCCAGTACTTTCCTTTTTTTTTTTTTTTTAATTTTTTTTTATTATTATTATTTAATTTAAAACTACAGAACCCCACTACAATCCCTCTCCTAAATTATTGTGCCCGAGTCAAATGGAGCTTTTTTAAGGGTTGGAGGAAGTATCTTTTAATTAAGTTGCTTGCTTCTTTGGGGGGGCAGAGTTTACTTGCAGATGAAAGAAGTTTCTCAAGCTGATAATTTTTCTGATTCCTTTGTTTAAAGGATAGAAGAAAGTTAATGTTTAAGAATCCTATTGTCGTGAACTCTTTCCTCTCTATATTTCAATGAAGAATATTAGAGAATATAATTTTTTTTGCATATGACAGAGCAAGCTTACCCCAATTCTCTAGGAGTTACATTATCCGAGAACTCAGCTTTCTCAAATTAGGCCTTGTTTTTTTTTTTTTTTTTTTTTTTTTTTTTTTTTTTTTTTTAATTTTAAATCTGAAATAAATTTGTCGGAAAATGAATGTTTCGGAAAAAATATGTCATCACTTTTTTGTTTAATAATTTTGGCTTGTGCTCCTACATTATTTCTTCATCCTTCAAAATACTCTAATTGCATTTTTTTGAATTTGCAGGAGCCTGTATCTCATGTTGTTGCTCGCCCCTCTCCAAATAACATTCTTGAATGGTGTAAGTTTTATTTTAGCAGTCCTTCCCTTACCGATGACTTGAAATAATGCCCTAATTCATTTGTTTACATATTGGAACTTTAGTGTATTTCTAGTTTTTGTATGCCATTTGGTGGAATATGGAAACTTTGACAACTTAGGTTATGCCTTAACCTGGTAAGTCCAACCTTTTCAAAGATTGTTTGCAAGATAAATAATCATGTGACTGTATACATTGCATACCTTTTCATCTAGACTTAGCTTTTTATTTAAGTGGATCGTAGTATCTGTAGATCATTTTTCTCCAAATTTTTTATTGTGGGTTTGCTGGTTTGGAGTACAATTGAATTAGAAGTCTCTATTTCACAATTGCCATTAAAATAGCATGTTCAAGTTTTTGGACATTGCTTAAATGATGGGTATTATTGTTTTTAAATTGTTTTAACTTTTAGAAGATATGTTAAAAATTATATGTTGTGTTAGTCTTTTTATTTGGTGTGCATCCCTCTTTCTTATCTTTCTTTTGTTTTCCAATTTCAGATTATGTACTTGAGGGAAGTGAAGGAACACCTTTTGCAGGTTTGTCCTTCCTGCTGTTATTCTTTTCCCTGCATCTTTTAGGCTTGAGTTTTGAACTCTTGTTACTCATTCATTGCTCGTGTCACTTTCAATTATGTGAGTTGATTTTCTGAATTTTACATTTTATCTTATGAAGGTGGATATTATTATGGGAGGATCACGTTTCCATCTGAATATCCATTTAAGCCACCATCAATCAGGTTACCTCACTTTCTTTTTTTTTTTTTTTTTTTGGCTGGCTAGTAATCTTCTCCCTTGAAAGCATATAGAAATAAAAATGCTTGTGGCTTTGGCATTTTAATGTTTCCTTGTTAATAGGATGACGACTCCCAACGGGCGGTTTATGACTGATACCAAGATATGCTTGTCTATGAGTGATTGTAAGTTTTGTGCTTCATTGATGCTCCTTATCTGCTCAATTTTTTTTGTCATTGATTATGATTTAGTCTCGTAATGATTGTCTCTTTTATTTATTTGCAGTTCATCCTGAAAGTTGGAATCCAATGTGGTCAGTATCCAGGTAAGATAAAGTGTGCTAACAGTTTATTCTCAATGCATGACTTCATAGCATGTCCTTCAATTGAGGGAAAAATAGAGTAGAATGGTAGATTCTTATAGGATTCATTTCTAACCATTTATAGGAAAAGCAAATATCGTCTGTTATGGACTCAATGGTATGGAGCAGCCTTTTCAATTTTACTTTATAACTTATGTGATATCATTGATGAAGTAGAGTTTTCATTGATCTTGATAACTAAGATACTGTAGTATGTACCATCTGAAGTTGCTGTTGCTGGAAGAAAGCACATTCTTTTTTATGTAGTTGTTATTTTATTGCATGTTATTGACTATGCTTTGTTTTAAAATGCAGTATTCTTACGGGTCTACTCTCATTCATGGTAAGTTCATGCCTGTGATTTATATATATGCTTCTCCATTAATAATGTCTGACCTATGTGCTTGAAACTTCTGTGTGTTATATACTAGTATCACTTAGCTGGTAAGATTATGTGATTCGTTGCAATTGATAAATTTGGTTTCTGAGTCTTTCTTGTGTCCTGCAGATGGACAAAAGCCCTACTACAGGAAGCGTTTCAACATCTGTTGAGGAAAAACAATGTTTAGCCAAGTCTTCACTTGCCTATAATTGTAAAATGTAAGTGAGTGGCAGTTTATTACTGGTGTCTGTTTTGTTTATTCTCTGTTGTCTGACATTGTCTACTGATGAGTATTGCATGCAAAAACCCATTTTGATATTGCTCTTTAAATCTTGGACATATTTTTTCATAAATGTCCAACATTGGTTTTTCAGCTGACTGAAATTAAGGTTTTGAATTGATATTTTGCTCTTATCACAGTCACCAAAGTTGATGTTCTGTTTTTGGGTTTTTTGTCTGGCATTTCTGTATGAGCCATTTTTTTTCTAAGATAACTCATAGTCTCATACTGAATTAAAATTCATCCATGGTTTTCTCAGATAAACCATAGTCTCATAATGCGAATTGGAACATAAACAAAACATTGTTTTCCCATGTTTTTCTCTCAGTTGCATCATATTGTCAGATGATACCCATGCCAATTTTATAATTGTCTTGAAATTCAAGGAAGGCAATTTTGTGGAATTAGTCAGTTGATTTTTCTTTGAAAATAATCTGTCAAATAATTTTGTCTATTTTGGGTTTTGAAACTTTGCTTTTTAGTTCTACTTTCAGGAAATTGTTTCCCGAATACGTTGAGAAGTACAACCAGCAACTTGCTGAGCAAGCTCAGAAAGAGGCATTGTCAGTGCCCGCACAAGAAGAATCTTCACTTCTCAATTCGGAGACTATTAATAATAACATGCAAGATAATGCAGCAAAAGCAGAAGATGGGAACAGAAGAAATAATCGTAAGCAATCTGTGCCGACCTGGATGCTGTTGTTGATCTTCTCAATATTTGGTTTAGTTATGTCCTTGCCTCTTCTTGAACACTGATGTCACTCCCTGATTAGGCTCGACCTAAATGGGTAGATCTTCAAACTTAAGATCATATAGATATGCATGTGAGCTGGTCAAAATTTTCACATCCAAAATTTACCTTTTGTGGTGTTTCACTGTCTTGTAATGTTACGGAGTACTACACTAACTTGTACAGTCTATGGGATGCTATCTTCTTTCAATTCAATTTTCTAGTCTGAAAATTTTGTGAAAGTGTTTTGTCAAATCATCATAACAAATTAAATGAGCCTGTGAGCTCTAATTGTTGAGGTTCATTTTTACAAACTTGAGAAAAAAAGGTTTTCTTTGAATAAGGTGGTTTGGGGGTGATATCAATGGAAGAATTCTTCGAAAAGATTTGTGCCTATGCATTATACAAAGAGCGTTGCGTTCAAAATCTATGTCATGACCCGGAATTAAAACCTGTGACAAAAACTCAGCTTAAGCTTATCAACAACGAAGTCTTACGGTTGTAGTATGAGTATTTTGCTTGCAAGAAGCTCGAAGACTTTTAGTTAAGCCTTCATGTTAAGCACAAAGGAAAGTATATGGTGGAGGATCTTAAGCGTGAGCAACATTGATTCCTTCGATTTTTCCATGACCTTGGTACATTTGTAAACAATGCTATGGATTTGATTCAAAGGAAAGTATACGATGGGAAAGAAGAACAATGTTCAGCAACATCTAATGTTCTAACAGTATATTGTTTTCTGGTTTGGGGAGCATGTAAATTTTACTTCAGTGAATTTTGAAGATATGCGATTTTTGCAATTTTTATAGGTACATATGATTATGGACTGGGGAGCATGTAAATTTTACTTTAGTGAATTTTGAAGGATTGATTTACTTAAACTCTGCTGTCATATTATAAATACGGAGTAGAAGACTTCAAATTTTAATCCTTTGTTTCCAGTTACCCTACATTGATTTGATTTTGTAGAGCGAAAACAAGATCACTTAGTCGTCCTTTGAGACCGAGAGAAACCCTATTTTATGCATTCTTGTGCTTATATACTTTTACTTCATATCTATTTGAAATTAAAGGTTATATGGGAAAGAGAGTAAAAAATTATTCGATATTCTAGGTTATTATTTATACCACCTCGGTTTTCATTTTGATGTTAAAAATATATTTGCTTTATTTTTTTTTTCTTCTTTCCATTTTACCTTCTTACTTCCAAACCCCATAATAATCGCGCATACTCGTATTTTTCTTTACTCATGTTCTCTCACTAATAAATCACTTTTTTAACACTCTTATTTTAACCATTCTTTTTCAATGTTATGATCACATGGAAATGGAGGAAGGTAGTATTTGTGGACTAAGCACATGAAAGTGATGGGAGAGGTGAGGAATCCAATCCTCACATGTCACAATCTTAGGCTCCGTTTATTTTGGTAGAAAACATTTTTCTGATAAATGATTTTCCTTCATCTTTCCATTTTCCTTTATTTTGATAAAAGGTGGAAAACAATTTTTCTAAAGGTGCAGAATTGCACTTTAGAAAAGGAAAACCGTTTTTCTTTAGAAAAGATGGTATGCCACATTTTCCTATTCACTCATTACTTCTCCTTATACTCTACTCCCATCCTTCCTTTCTTTTTTACTTCATTTTTTTTCCTTAAGTTTTCCTCTAATCAAAACAAGGAAAACTTACTTTTAAATCGTGTTTTCCATTAGAAATTGTTTTCCTTGAAAAGTAATTTTCAGGACAATTGTTTTCCTTCAAAACAAACAGAGCCTTAGGATGAAACCGAACTAAATACCATAGTACCGGGAAAAGAAAAAGAAAATACCGTGTGAAATTAACGGGAAGAAAATACCATAGTACCGGAAAAAGAAAAAAGAAATTTACCGCGTGAAATTAACGGTAAGAAAATACCGCATACGAAAAAATAAAAGTAAAAATAAAAATTACAGACCGGATAATCCCTCAAATCCTAACATAGAAAACGCGTGTGCCGTGAAATATCACCGCCATATCATATCATATTATATAACTAATACTACCTCCGTTTTTTTTAGTTGACACGTTTTGACTTTAGCACTATTCACACACTCCTCTTTAACCGTGTTTTGTGCTTTATACATAATAAAAAAGGATCTTGTTAGATTTGTCACGATATATATTCACAATATTAAATTTTCATAATTTTTGCATATCGGTAATTAAAGATATGAATGGTTGAAGTTGTGCGTTGGCAAACGTGAATAAAGAAACGTGTCAACTAAAGAAACGGATATATAAATTAGTCTTTCTCTCTCTAATAGTTTTTCTCTCTAATTTTAAACACCTTTTCGGACCACCTAGCCCCGTTCATCTCAGCTAGCTCATCGGTGTCTGGAATGGATCAAATATCATCCCTCCGGCATCGACGAGCCGAAATTCCTGCTCTACACCTTGCGATTAGTAAGTAATGTTGGAACAACAAGTGTGTAGTGTGTGAATTTTGTGAAAAAACTCAAAGTCCCACATTGGTGGGAAATGAGAGTTTTACTCTCTTTATAATATAGAGAGTGGGCTAAAGGGGTGTGGCCCTTGGGTTATTAAACAAACTTAATTTTTGTTACCGGTTTGTTTAATATTCAGTTACAAAACGTTTTACTGTTTTGGTTTAAATTTTTCCGTTACATTGCTTGATTCTCGTTGCTGTTTTACTGCTAAACGTTGCACCGTTACACTGATTTAATGCCTTGATTCTTGCTTAACGAATACACTAATTGCAGTAAACGTTGCTAATCTTTCTCCCGTTTTCATGCTTAAGCTGTTACGTATCTTTACCTATAAAAGGACGGTTCCAGCTTTGTTTTTAAATACACGAAAAAAAATACAGAAAACCACTTTGCAAAATATATTTTCTCTTCCTCTCAAAACAGTCGAGCAGTTTCTTTCTGATTTTCTGGTGTTCCGTTGTCCGGTGGTTCGGTGCAAAACCGCCGGTATTTTATACTTGTGAAAGACTGTTTTATCCTGGGGGCATCCGGTTTGGTACGAGCTGCTTGCACAAGTTTGAGGCAGTGCCGCGAATGTTCTAAAGAGAGCGACATAGTCCGCGACTCAGTCTTATTCTCGGTAACATTGTTCTTACTATTTTATTTGTGCAATTCCGTTTATAACAAGTAATCTTGCCTTCCTCTACATTTTGGGTAAAAGTTGGTTTGTTCTTTCTTATGTCTTTCTTGTATTATATTAGTCCCTTTTGAGTATTGTGTCTTGCTGTCGTCTAGTATGGTAAGCTTGGGGGTAAACTTTTTAATTGCACCTCTTCTATCACACCACTTAGATAACTTAGATGAAGATGACAATGATATTGAGGAGATCTTTGTTAAATTCATTGGGCCTGATGAGGTTGTCCCATATGTAACTTCCCTTAAAGGAAGTAGGCAACTCCCTTTTCAAGGAAGGTGAATGATAGAGTATATAAACTGATTCTGGTATTGCTGGTATTCAGAGACGAGATCGTTTATATTGCTCTCTGCCTCGGTGAACTCCATCTCTTCCATACCTTCCCCGGTGTACCATTGCAAGAAAGCCTTCCTCCTAAACATACCTGTGAACTGCTCGCTTACTCTCCTGAACATCTCTTGAATGGAGGTTGAGTTCCCGATGTAAGTTGAGGCCATGCTCAAACCACGAGGTGGGATGTCACAAACACTGGACTTCACATTGTTAGGGATCCACTCAACAAAGTAAGATGAGTTCTTGTTCTGAACATTAATCATCTGTTCATCCACCTCCTTAGTGGACATCTTGCCACAGATCATGGCCGGTGAGGAGTGAGCACGGATCGGATATCCGATCCGAAATTGGATTTTGGATCGGATATCCGTATTCGAAAAATAAGATATTTGATATCCGTATCCGATTCGAAATTTTCGAATATCCGGATATTCGGATATCAATCCGAAATTTTCGGATCGAATAGTGCGGATATCCAATATCCGACCCATCTAATAATATGAGTTTTTATCCAAAATTTTAAAAAAAAAAAAAATTTAAAAAATAAAGACCAAGGATTTCGGATCGGGTTGTGCTTTAGGGCGGGTTTAATCTTTTAGGTTGGATTCGTACCATCATCCCCGAATATCCAGTCATGGTTCCGGACCACTATGGAGTTAGCGATCTCCGTGATCGTGAATGGGTGTAAGTGTGTAACCTTCACATCGTGAACGGTTTACAAGTTTCTAAAACTTGTTGACGACTTTTTTGCTCTAGCTTTTTTCCCTGTGGACGCCACCGTGCTTAAATGCATGATCACAGTGGGGCTCAAATTTAATGTTTGAAATATTCTCTATACCGACACTTGGCCTTTTAACTTTTCGCCAAGTGTCGTGCCACGTAAACGACATATAAGCTTTAATATGACACCTTTAATGCTAGATAAACGACTTTAAGATAGATTTTTTAGGATAAAAAAGTTATTGTGAATTTTATTTCTGATAGAACTTTTAATTTTCCATATGAATAAGTAGATTGTAACTTTAAAAAATTATCTTATAAATATGTTATTTTTATATCATAAAATTTGTTTTAAAAAGTTGTACAAAACTAGATTCATTAATAATAAATTTTAATCAACTAAAACAAGACATCGAAACTTGGCTTTTCGCCAAGTGTCACATCACGTAGACAACAAATATGAATTAGTGTTACACACATGATACTAAGTCGGCGAAAATCTATCTTTGATATGTATAAAATAATTATAAATTTTAAAAAATGATTTGTTTTTATAAGCTAAACTTTTTAATATGATTATCATGTAATTATTAATCCATCAGTAGCAAATTCGAATAAAATAAATATTTTCCTCGTATATAATGTATATTTCTATGATATATATTGCACTTTTATAAAAATCAATGGTATCAAAAGTCAAGATATCGTAAATCAAAAGGACATTATTTGTATCAATAATACACTATATTTTAAAATTTAATTTGATAGATAGATAAAAAGTATTCTTATTAAAATTGAATAAACAATCTGGACATCGGAAACAAAACTACTTAACGATATAAAAACGTTCTTACCGGTGATAATTCTATTCATAATCTCACATTTCTCAGTTTTTTCTCTCCTCTCATTCCCGCTTTCTGAAAGAAGTAACATTTCCCGATCAAAATCCTGTTTTTCCATTCTTCTAGATTTTTCCTCCAATTACATTAAATCGTTGATCAAATTTCTTCACTTTGGGGAATAATTTCAGTTTATTAAGCTGTTTTTGGCAATGAATGACTGTTAGGCGTAATGTATCTGATTCGCCTCCTACGAAACCCTCATTTTGGGGAGAAATTCTGTAATTGGCATGTTTGAGGCAACGGAAATGTGTCACTTCAGTCTTTGTTACGAAAATGTTAGGGTTTCATCGGAGGCAGATTTGGTACAGTTAGCCGATTTTTGTGGAGTTGATGATGATGAAAGAAGTATGAGTTCGAGGAATTCACTGTAGGTAGCTGAAAGTTTTTATATATTTTTTTTTTGTTTGTATTTTAGGTTTTACGAGTTTTTTTTTTTTTTTTTTTGGTACCATTGCTGTGTAATTGACTCCTATGAAAGTGAATTGCATAATTTTGTCTTAATTGTGTGTTATTATGACTTTATTCGTATTCAGATTACGATTTTTTTTTGTTGTTATTTTGTGTTTGGAATGATAATGATCTTATTAAGAGTTTAGGGCTTAAGATACTGTGAGGCATATATTGGGGATATTGTGGAATAGAAACCTAGAAATGAAGTATCTGTTTTAATAGTGTTTATCAGTTAAATTACTCTTTGGTGTTGGTTGTGATTTTTGGTAAATTAGGAATTCCGAGTTTCGCATCGTGGACCTTTGTGGTTATTGTATTTCATTCGTGGGTGTAGTTTAGAGAGCTGTTGATATGAGGATGTAAAGTTGTTAACTTTGCACTTTTTATTGGTTTGTAGCCTGCCAAATATTTGTTATATTGTTAAGTATATAAGTAAAGGTTGAGGGAGTAGCTATGTTTGAGAGCAAGGTATTATAAGGCAAGTAATATTAGTACAACCCTTCCCTTTGTAAAAAAACTCAATTTTGACAAAATTTTGGGTCCAAGCAGAGACATTTTTTCATGGATGTATAGATTTTGTGGTTATTTATGTTATGAGAGTGGATGGGGCTTTTGAGGTTCTAGTGGCTATAAGTGGTTTATAGAAAGCTTACTTTTGAAAATAGACTTTGATAGTTCGATCAATATTGTGAATAAGTTTGTATCTTGGGAAACTTTTGAGAGGAACTTGAGAAGCCAAGACCATTATGTCTTGATGGCTGTTATATTTTGTTGTTTGTGAGTGTAAATGATGAGATGTGTTGGCTCAATGTAGTTATGATATGCTGAGAACATAATTGTGACGAGGGAGTTCCTGTTACTTAAAATGGGTAGTCTGTGTGTCTTTTGAACTGGAAACTTGATGATTTTGATGTGGAAGTAATAGGTATTGAACTGGATAATTGTGATGAGGAAGTTCCTGATACTTAAAAATGTGCTACTGTAAAGGTGAGAATGAATAGAGCTTGTAGACAATTGTCTTTTGAAGGGAATACTTGTGTTTGTTGAGGTTCGTGTTTTTCGGGAGGCGGTGCTTGTGTACTGGTCTTTTGGTTTAGTTGGTGAGGTGTTTATTCTGAGAGAAATATGATGCATTATATTGTAATATTAATTTTTTGAAGAATTCTGATTATTGGGATACATTCAATAATTTGGGAATCCTGGTTCATTATATTATGATGGTTGTAACTTTTTGTAAATTGTGGGTATGAGATGTGATAAGGGAGTTTGTGATACATTGATTGGGTGATGAGATCATTTGAAATGAATGTTTTAACTGAGTGGCTATCAATTGAAAATATAGGTTTTCAAGTTGGAAGTTGTATAGTAATGGATTAGTGTTACTTATTGGAGATTTTTTTTTTAAACTGTTAAGTAATGGCCTATTTTTAAGGTATGAATGTCAATAGCTTGTTGTAGGTTATCTGATTTCTAAGGGGAATTTAGGTTGCTGAGTTTTATGTTTTCAAAATTGTAGGTTTGTGTGTTGATATGTTGGTTTTTTTGATAAGGGTTTTACTTTTGAATGTAGTATGATGAGATGCATGATTTGTTACAGCAAGAGCTGTATGCTTTTGTAACAAAATGCGTTGTGGTACTCATGCTTTTATAGCTACTTGGCTTTGTCCGACATTTGCTTAGATTTTGACACTCTAGTTCTGAGGGGAATTTGAGATGCAGAAGTCTTGTGTCAACTTAAATGATTTAGGGTGTATGTGTCTGTTTTGATGTGAAGTGTAGTTTGGTGGACAGAAGTAAGATAGTTTTGTTCGTCAGATGTAGTTACAGCCTTAGACGGTAGGATATATATTATAGTTGCTGAAATGTATTCCAATTATTAATTTTATTTTACTGATATTATGTTAATAAATATAGTCATACTGTCTGATTACTATAGATAAAGGCATAAAGCTTATTGCAATGAGTAAAAATTTCAAGTATCCCATGTGCCATTTCTGTTATTGCTAATGTATGTTCATTACTGTTTAGAACTGTTGAAGTACTTTTCTTTTTCTATCTTTTTTTTTTTTTTTTTTTTTTGGGGGGGGGGGGGGGGGGTGGGTAGGGGGTTGTGGCTTAGACATTCAAGAAGTGTGCTTATTGGAATGAGTTATGAGTTGCTAAGTTTAATGTGCTCCTATGGCTGTGGACATTGGCTTGTTGATTTTTGGGTTTCTTTGATTCAGAGGTTTCGGTTTGATAGGAATGTGATGTTATGTTGCTCTTGAGTTTATTTACGGTGTAATAGTGGATTGGTCCTTTGAGGTACTAGTGGCTATTTTTTATGGTTTCTTTGATTCAGATGTTTTAGTTTGTGAGGAATGTGATGTTAAGTTGCTTTTGAGTTTATTTATTGTGTAATAGTAGATTGGTCCTTTGAGGTTCTAGTGGCTATTTTTTATGGTTTTTTTGATTCAGAGGATTCGGTTTGAGAGGAATGAGATGTTATGTTGCTTTTGAGTTTATTTATGGTGTAATATTAGATTGGTCCTTTGAGGTTTTAGTGGCTATTTTTATGGTTTCTTTGATTCAAAGGTTTCGGTTTGAGAGGAATGTGATGTTATATTGCTTTTGAGTTTATTTATGGTGTAATAGTAGATTGGTCTTTCGAGGTTCTAGTGGCTATTTTTTTATGTGTGGTTTATGACAAATTTATTTTGGAAGCATCCTTGGAGTAGTTTTGTGAAGAAATTTATTGTGGGAACATTTGAAAGGAACTGGGGTAGCCAAGTCCATAATATATTAGTGGTGGTTGTGTTTTATTTGAGGGTCTGAATGATGGCATGTGTTTACTTAAGGAGGTAATGATATGTGAGTAGAATTTAAATTGGGAAGTTACTGATACCTAATCGGGTTATTTGTGAGATCCTTTGAACAGAAAGACTGAAATGAGTGACTATTAATTGTCAATATAGTTGCACATGTTTGAAGTTGTGTAGTTGATTGATGATTTTATTCTGGAAGGCTTTATTGGTATAAAGTGTTATTTATAGTGTATAACATACTTTCTATGTCAAGTATTGTGCTATATAAGGGATGAGTGCTAACAATATGTTGTAGATTAGTGAAGTTCTGAAGGGAATTTAGGCTGAGTATGTGTGATTTGAAAGTGGAGGTCGTGTGGGATCTTTTGGTTATTTGATGAAGGGGTTTCCTTTCTGAACGACGTTTGATGATATTTATGATATAGCAACTAATACTTGTTTAAAAGTACTTATTAGGCTTTTTCCATCATTTGCTTTGCTTTAGATTATGTAGTTCTTGTGGGAATCTGAGATGTTGAAGGCTTGTAAACTTTAAAGAAGGCTGTATATGCCTGTTTAGTCTAATTGATTTAAGTGTTGGTTGGTGGACTGAAAGTGTAAGAGAAGTTTTCATAATTAGCTATAGTATAGTTATAGTCATATACGAAGATTTCAAATTATATATAGTGATATGTATTTCCAATTTTTTCTGTAAACTTTGGTTGTTATGTCTAGAAATATTGTCCTACTGTCTGATTAAAGCATATTGCAATGAGGAAGGTTCCAAAGTGTCCCATATACGAAGTACTTTTAAGGTTGATGTGGGCAAGAAAGGGTTTTTGTACCTTTAAAGGATTAAGAACAATGAAAGTAATTTTTTTATTTTTATTTATTTTTTTTTTTATTTTAAAAAAAAAAAATCTTATTATCTATGGTGAGTATTGTGCATATTGGAATGGAATGTTGTTAAGTTCAGGGATTTCTTATTGTGGTGGGCAGTGGCTGTGTAATCTTTGGGTTTATCTGACCAGTTGTTTTGGTTTTGAGAGCAATATGATGATATATGCGTTTGAGTTTTTAATAATGGTGTGAGAGCGGATTGGACTTTTGAGGTTCTTGTGGCTGTGTTAATTATGTGTTTTATGAAAATTTTAGGAAAAATTAATAGGTATTATGGAGTAATTTTTATTGTTATAGGGTGTAAAATACTTCTGCCACATGATGTGCTATTTTGAAGTTATGATACTTAAGAGTGGAGAAAACTTGTAGATTTGCTTGCTTTTGCTGGAAACTAGGTTTTGCTGAAGGTGGTGGTTCTGTTGGTTTATATGTTGAGGGGTCTCATTTTTAGAGGGATAAGCTGAGCAAGTTATATGAATCAGGAAGCTGAATAATATTGCCAATTTTTTTTGGGGTATTGAGGTTTGTAGAATTACTTTCTGGGCTTAGTCCAAGTTAAGAATATTGAGTTGAAGCTGGAAGTCTTGCTGATAACCGAAAAGAGTTTGTGGAAATAAGTAGATTGTTGCCTTCTTTCATATGCTTAATATTAAGGTTGTATTTATGAGATGTCACTTGGGAGATTGTTTTGATTTAATTACATATTGGCTCATGAAATACTAAAGCCTACTAAGCCATAATTGTAAACAATTTATGTTTATGGGCTAAGGCTAGCAAGGACAGTCATATTTATTTAAAGGATGCCTAAATACTTTATCTCATGTGGTTCGGTCTGAGAACTTTGAATAGGAAGGCCAAGTTGGAGATTTTGATCTCTAAATGAGCACAACTACAAAATTTGTTAAGGGTAGATTGAACTTGTTGTGTTTCAAGGCTTGGGGGTTATTTGTGTTGAGGATAGATTATGGGTAGGGGACATGTCTTATAGATGGAAATTTACACATCTACCTCTGAACGACTGTCTTGATGTCCGTATACATTGTATGCCAAGATAGAGGGTTTTTTACGTGATACTACCTCCTTTTCAGATGATGTTTCTGTTTTCGTAAATCGATACAAGTTTTTGCAAATATTTGACCGCAAATATCTTTAATTTCATACTACCAAAAATTATAAAAGTTAGATATTAATAATGTACTCACCAAGACGAATCAAGTTAGATCCCATATGATTATATTTGTTCTTATGACCTTACTAAATCCAAATACGTTAACCTAAACATGTAATAATGACACTATACTAATTGTATTATATACTTGTAGTTGTAGTAATTTAATTATCAAAAAATGCTTGTAATAATCTAGTTAAAGGCTTGTTTTAGGTACTTCTAAAGCCTCTTTTGGTGTAGGAATATACAAATGAGCCAAAATCATTAGATGGAGCAAGAAAGTGTATCCATCTCTATGTGTATGACTACAAACCAACAGTAGTTTAATGAATGAAGTAGGAACCTTCCTCCATGGTGAACCTCTCTGAAGTCTTATTCCCTTATTGATTCCCCCAATTTCCTCTAAGACTATAAGTGGCACTTCTCTACTCCCCACAAACATATCTTTGTACATATCTACCTCTGAACGACTGTATTGTTGTCTGTATACATTGTATCTGTATACCAAGACACAGGGTTTTCTACATGATAATAAAATTAATTTATCGGACTTATTTATAAGTAATTAAGAAGTATTCCCCTCTTATTAAATACACAGTACTTCTTCTGTTTTTTTAAGTGCTCTTACTTTTTCTACTATATATATACAAATTAGTTTTTAACTTTTTCTTAACACTTGTATACTATGTATAATAACTTAACAATAATGTTATATAATATTGGTGCCGCATTAGTCTCAAATTTATATTTTTATGATATTAATTATATATTTTTTTTTACTAATACACACAAGTAAAGATATTGATAACAGTACAAAATATATGTACCGACATGCATAAAAAGTGCTAGAGTGTCACTTTAAAAAAAACAAAGGGAGTATCCATCAGCGTCAATCCGAACTACTAAGAATTAAATAAATCATTGTATCCCAAGGAAGTTTTTAGGTTTATGACCTTACTAAATCCAAATACATTAACCTAAATAAGTAATAGTTAATGACACTATACTAATCGTTTTATATACTTGTAGTTATTTAATTATAATAAAATACATACGGAGGATAATTATATAGTTAAAGGTGTGTTTTTAGGGATGGTAATCCAATCTGGATTCGAGGAAAAAAAATCCGCTCCGAGTTTGAGAAAAAAGTAATCCGAGTCCGACTATGAGTCGGAGGAGGGTCGGAGTTGGATTCTACAAAAAAATCCGAGAAAAATATCCGACTCTGACAAATGTTCGACTTCGATGGATCGTGCATTTGGGTGTGGGTTGTGGTGGCAATGGGTGTGGGTTGCAAAGGCTTAAATGTCCCAATTTCTCAAAGTATATTGAATAATTGGAAAAAACTTAGGGTCGGATCGGAGTTGGAGGTCGGATATTGAAGTCGGATCGGAGTCGAAGTCTCGGAGTCAGATGTCAGAGTCGGATTCGAAGTCAGATTTAGCCTCTGACTTCCTGCAGGGTCGGAGTCGGATTCAGAATAATCCGTTCCGAGTCTGACCCGTTGCCATCCCTACTTGATCCGAGTACTTTTGAAGGCTTCTTTGGTGTAGGACTATACAAATGAGACAAAACTATAAAATCGAGCAAGAATGCTCTAAAGTGCGTCCATCTCTATGTGTATCAGAATAATATAATAGAGATATTGGTACAAGTTACATTCGTTTATACTTTTTTTTAATAGAATCAACATGCTATACTATATACTGGTATCTAATTGTCTTGGCTGCGTTGTTCATTTCCCAAGTCCTATCATTCTGCTCCATTAATAGTATTATACTCCACTAATCTACATTAAACTTAATTAGTTGACCTATTGCAGTCTTCAACTACTACAAATAATTTAATTAGTTTAGGTACATAAATGTGTGGTACTGATAGCCCGACTAATTATTTTATGTTCAAGGCGCATCCACGTACTATGTACGAAGTTACATGTGTGCAGTTGTTGCTCTAATTTAGTAGTGGTCAACTCTGTCAATGGTTATTTTTTAATTAGATGCTCTGAAAAACTCTCTAAGTTATTGTTAGTGAAGTACAATCATAATCTTCTTGACCGGTTTTTAAAATGTTCCATTTGTCTTTCATTTATATAAAGATTTATCGAATAGCTGATTGGATAGCTATAAAAAGTGATTTTCATACGAAGTATAACATACGGAAAACTTGTTTATTTTAATATGTGTAAGTATTCAAGTTGCCTTTCCTCATATATACTACGCCTTATTATTGAGGATAACAAATCATGCAATTAATTCTGACTATAAAAGGGTTACCCTACTACTACAGTTTTACTAACAAAATGCACCCAACTAATGGATGCTCTGTATTTAGCCTGTTGGAATTATAAAAGGGTAACCTTACTACTACATTTTTACTAACAAAATGCACCCATTACTAATAATGGATGCTCTGTATTTAGCTTGTTTGAGTTATACTAGCTAGAGTACAAGATTGAGCTACTCATAAACAGAAATGTATAATCGAATATGGCTCATTCAATGATTCACTATTCAAGTTCGAAACTTTAGTTAATTTTGTAATGACAAACTTTTGACATAATTAGCTTAAAAGTTATTTACAAACGTATTATTTCATCTACAACCTCACCCGAAAAGAAAAAGTACGTAACAAACATGTCAACCTAACATAGTATCGAGTCAGGTCGAGTCGAGTCATAATAACCCACAATTATTGTCATCAACATACATTGGCCTACCTACATAATTCTTTATATGGCTCCTTAATAATGAAGCAAAAACGCGTAAAATTTAACAAGATCGAGTAAGTGCATAAATTTTAGTAGTACCTTTGTTGCTAGTATAGCAAGACAGTGTGAGTTGGAGGTTACATATCTTACTACCTTCCTCACGTGGATACTGATTCTAAACAACCGACCAATTTTTTTAATTTTTGCAATTTAATTCCCTCATTTTTTGTACCCCGTGTTTACAATTGGCTCCAGCTGTTACTTTTATTATTTATCCTGCCCATCCATTTAATTATTTATGTCATAAACTTTATAATTAAATTTTATCTATATATACCCCGTTTTTTGTTACACTCTACACTTACCTCCAAACCAAAAAATATCACACTATTACATAGTTTGTTAAAGAAAATCTAACAAAGAAAAAGATAATGAAGTTTTCAGTTCCAACTTTGGTTTTAATTTCTCTTGTTATAACTTGTGTTTTCATTGAGATTACTGATGCTGTTTCAGCTGCTCCTATATCTTCTCCTACTACTTCTCCTACTCAAGCCCCTCCTGGAGGTACTTCTACTACTAGCTTTATAATTATCTTGTTTTGAGTTTTACGTGTTTTAGTGTCGTTGTAACTTGTAAGTAGAGCTGATCATCGATTGGTTGAACTTAAAAAAATCTGCTCATTTTGAGTCAAGGGATAAGGTTTGAAATTAAGAGTCTAAGACCAACCTATATGGTGGTAACACTACTACAAAAATAACCAAAGATTTGAAGACATTTAACTTCATCTTTATTCATATATATTTAGTCAACGAAATCACCGGAACACTTTGACTAATTCTTTATTTTTTTTAATTGTAAGTAATCATCATTAGCATGAATTAATCTTATATTATTTTATATAAGAGTACACACTAGTCATAATAGGTTATGAAAACAATTTCAGAGAGTAGACCATCACTTTGACTGTTTTGACACTAAACTTAAGTATAAGTACACTTCATAAACCTACGCCGCACAATGGTATTTTTTTAATTGTTCTAATTCGCTCAAATTTAGTTGTCACATTAACTAATTTTGGATAATCGTATTTACAGTGCCAGGATTTTGTGCGGATAAATGCGCATACAGATGCTCAAGGAATCCAAGGAACTTATGCAAGAAATTATGCATGCATTGTTGTAAAAAATGCCAGTGTGTTCCCAATGGTCCTTTCGCCGACAAAAGCCAGTGCCCTTGCTACAGAGACCTCAAGAACAACGAAGGCCAATCTAAGTGTCCTTAGTTTTAATTTAGACCAACAAATCCTATGTATCTATGCTTAATATCTTTAATCCATCATTATAATCCTTAATGCTTAGTAATGGTTATTAGTAAGAAATAATGATAATTATATATATAGGGCATCATATATATTGATTGTCGTCTGCCCATAAATTATTAAAGATTTAGACAGTTGTTGTCATATGTTGTGTGATAACTAGTGTCTCGTCTTGTATCTGTCGTTTTGATTTATTGGTTTGATGATTATCATATTTTTTGTTGATCTTATTATGAGCTATGAAAGTTTGGATGTAATTTGATGTTTATAAAGTTTGGTTATGGCTTTATATGCCTTATTTATATTAAATATTGAGTGTATTGGTAGAATAAATTTTGTGTAACCTGAAACGTTTGATTGCTTGATTGTTTAAATCAATATATACATGTATTAGTAGTGTGACAATAATGTGAAAATGATAGTGAACTAAACGTTATGATATCAAGTAATCAAAGAACGGACAACCACGAACTTCTTTGTTCTCTCTCATGTTCATCCCCTTCTCTCTCTTGTTCTTCAGATTACTTCGACTTTTTTCTTTCACTAATCAAATTAAGATTTGATTTTGTTTTTCATTTTTTGTGTTTGATTTGGAGGAGTATAAGTAATTTTGCCTCAATTTCATTTTTTCATCTGGTTCATTACCTTGTAATTATTTTTATTTTATATATAAATATATATATATATATATATATATATATATATATATATATATAAATTAAAAATCGCCACTTGAGGCTTGTTTGGCATTATTTTTTGTTTTTAGTTTTCTGTTTTTTTTAAAACCAAAAACCAAAAATCAAAAACAGGAAACAAGAAAAAGGTATTTCCACTTTTTTGTTATCAGTTTTCTAAATTATCAGGATTTTAATAAGTTTGACTAATTTTTTTTTCATTATATGACATATCATATGATTTTGAAAATAAAAAAACCAAAAAACAGAAAACCACAACAATGCCAAACGAACCCTGAGTTGGCGGTTTTTGCATAATTGAAAACCGCCGACTCAAGTAGCGGTTTTTAAACTTTTAAAAAAAAAATTAAAAATTATACTAAATAGTTACGTGGATAGTAGATTGGGAAATTGTAAAAGTGTAGCTGTATTTATGGAATTGCTAATAATTGGAACATTATTATGGGAAAGCACTCCCTAATATGATATTAACGTAAATAGACTATGAGGTAAGTTTTAAAAAGGATAATATAGTTATTTTGTTGAATTATTTAGAGTATTAGTGACAAATATTCATGTGTTTGATAAAATTGCGAAGAAGATTATCGCTGGGCAATCGCCCGGCGGGCGTGAGAGCACCCAGATTTATCTGGGTTGCTTGGTTTCTCTCGCCCGGTAGGGCGCGGGTGAAGTCTGGCAGTTATTCTTCGTTTTGACTTGGTATTTTGCTCTTAATATATACTTCGTATATGTTATATGTGATGAAAATGGAAATTCAAGAGATCTTATGATTGTTCTTCTTGGAAAACCTTTTGCAAGTTATTGTTCATTATCACAAATCACAAATCACAAAAGCTTATTTATATTGTATTATAATCATCCTACTTGTGATTGCAATTGACCTTCGTTGTATCTCTTGAGTAAATTTCCATGATACCCGGTTGTAGTATAGGGTCGGAATTATACTTTTGGAAAAGTGATTCCGTTCACGCCTTGAAGTTTCGTTTCTGATTTTTCTTTTTTTTTTTTCATTGTTCTTTGTGACCCTTGTAAACACAAAGTCCCCAACATATTTTCACTTAATAAAATTTGATTTTTACTCAAAACTACTTTTATCATTTAAAAACTGATAATTTTATCGAAATAACATTTATTAATTTCAAGGTATCTATTAACCATTTTAAGACAACTACGGATATTATAAATAATTTAAAATGGGTTTTAGGCCAAATCTCAACCCAGCCCATCAAATTTTATTTTTTTTTAATTTTTTTTTTTAAAAAAGCAGAAGATTTAGCTACACATTCATAGTTCTTGCTCATCGATTTGGATAACATCAAATTTTAGTACCCATCTATTTTTGGTTAAACTCCAAAATGTACACGATTTGGCATACAGGCATAACGCTAAGGATCACCGCTTATGACAGCCGTAATAAGGAAAGTAAAATGTTAAGCTTATCTGTTTTTATATAAACCCTTTATTCAAATCACGCCAAAGAAAGTATATATTAACAAAATTAACAATTTTATTCCCACAAAATAATTAAAATCAGGAAAAATGAATAAGTTTTCATTTCCATCTTTACTTCTCATTTCCCTCGTCCTAACTTCTTTGGCCCTTGACATTGTAGATGCTACATCATCCCCTGCAGTAGGTAATTTAATTATTGTCAATCTCTTTGATTAATTAATATACACATTTTCTAATAAAATCGATTGATTTGGGTTGCTAATTATAAATCTAGGGTGAAAATAATTGTATGTAATATTTAAGTTGTGTTTTGTCACACGCGTCATCTTAAATGATAAGAAGTAATAAATAAAATTCATTATGTATGTCCCCCTTATATTTGAAAACACATTGTCTTCTTAAAAAAAAACACACTGTCTAAAATATCGAGAATGACTAATTATTCTATGCGAGATGGAAGACATGATATTAGGGTATCAAGGAAAAGAAATACCTTGGCCCTTAGCTTTAGGCACGTCTGAGCATTCTCAAGTGCATCTACGAATATGTAATGATATTTAGTTCGAGTACTAACAATTCATGAATAAAAATTTACGGCTTTGTTCGTTTTTTATCATATTGTATTCACTCAGGGAATTATACAGCCCCAGAGTTATGCCCGAGCAAATGTGCCTGGAGATGCTCTAGGAATCCAAGGAACTTGTGTAAGAAATTGTGCGTAATGTGTTGCTCAAAGTGCAAGTGTGTACCTTCAGGTCCATTAGCCGATAAAGCCGAGTGCCCTTGTTATAGAGACTGGAAGAACAAGAAGGGCACCGATAAATGCCCTTAAATTTACAATTTGGCTCACTGCTATGTTCCTTTACTCGTGTGTAATTTTTATTTGAATGTTTACTTTGATATAGTTTTTGCAAAAACAAAATGTGAATAAATTTTAATGAAAGTAAATTTGTGGAAACAATGAACATATTATTTTTTATTTATTTTTTATTTTTTTTGTCATTGTTTAAATTGAAGCTTACATTGCAATAATATTTTGGTTGTTACACTTATCATTTGCTAAGGTACAACTTTTATTCTAATAATCAATTAAACTATATTTATAAAAAAAAAAAAAAAAAAAAAAAACCTACGTTTCACATTATGTGCAATAAATTGAATTTTTTATACCTCACAAAAAATACCTATTTAGTACACATAATGTGGAACGGAGGTTATATTTTGTAAAAATGATTATTGAAATAAATTTAATATTTTCAAATAATTGATCCATGTGTTATACTCCGTACCTATTAACCTATACAAAAAGTTTTGTTTAGCAAGTAAAGTTCTACTAGTACTCAAATTTGGTCGTGTATATTCATCACACAAACGTATAAAGATAGATTGATAGCCAATTAGCCACAATAGTACACTTGAACTTTAATCTGTTAGATGGATAGCCAAAAAATAAGAATAGATCATTAATCACATGTTATATACCTAAATGTGGATGTGCAAAAAAAAAAAAAAAAAAAAAAAAAAAAAAAAAAAAAAAAAAACCTAAATATGGGGCTACGTATTGGGCCTACAAGGTTACAAGCAGTACCACGTATAAGCCCAAAATGTTGCTAAGCGTTTAATGTTGCTGCTTAGCTACTTAGCTAGGCCATGTGATGTGCTTCAAACCTTCAAGGCATCAGATCTACTGCATGCTGCACGTCTCTAAGGTCTATTCCTCACTTGGGCGTGTAATTTTCAAGCTGTTCCCAGAGTTAGTTGTAACTTCGTGTAGGCGCCGACATGTAGCTAGTATTGGTTTTACTATTGTCAATAGACGATAAAATATAAGTACTCTATTGAGTTTAGAATTTAGATATTAAAGTGTTGCAAGTATTTTAAAGTTAAAATTAACTTAGGTGAAGATAACTCACCTAAAACTCTTGAAAATATTGTAAAGCTCTTGGAAGTTTCATTAAATTTCTCTACCTAGCCAGCTCTCAAATAATGGTAAGCTAGTAAGCTGACAAGTTGCTTACTTACGTTGAAAGCACATGCACCCATAAAAGTATGATAAAATTGCTAATAACAATAACAACATGACAAATCATCCAACTTGCTTAATTATATTGTACACCTCTATCATGCATCTATGCATGAATATTTGGCCCTTCACTATTGACTAATTTGGACTATAGACCACCGACTATTTTTATTATGGTTTCCCACTTTTCATCCTTTAAATCATACTATCCGTACTATATACTTCATAAAGTTGAACAACTTCACGCGTTTTTGTCCCATTTTTTTTAACTCATTCGGTAGTAACTTTGTACCTACTAGAGGTGTAAAAACCAAATCAACTCGAACCGAAAAAAACCCTCCGTTTCATACTGTAATCGATCCGATTTGATCCGCAAAACTTAAGACCCTAATCCGATCTGTAATCGAACTGAATTCAACTCGAATTCGAATTTGACCCGATTTGAACTTTAACCCGGTACCAATTTGACCCGACTTGAACTCAATCTGAAACCGATTAGACCCGAATTGAACTCAAACCGAACTGGTTTGACCCGAGCTGAACTCAATCCGAACTGAAATTGACCTGACAAACACCCGTTTCAATCCAATCCGTTTTTTATCCAAACTGATATTAACCCGACCCGATTTTAAACCGACCTGATTTTGACTTGACATAATTTCAAACTAACCATAATTTTAAACCTAATCTATTATTTACCTTATTTTTTACTTAAACATATTAATGACACGATATGGAAAAATGACACATGAATAAGTTAATATTAACCCAATAACAAGATTAAAAAAACTCAATAATTACTCTGATTTTAAAAATGTACTTATTTAATTATTAAATTTGGTCAACCCAACCAAAATTCAGCCAAACACGAAAAGTATTTAAATTAGAATTGACCAAATACTGAATCAACTTTAGTAATCAAACCAAACATAATAGAACCGAAATCAATCGAATCGAAACCAACCCGATCCAAAGTCATCCAACCCGAGATTAACCCGGTCAAGCCTGTTTTGAACCCGATCCGAATGTATCCGAACCGAATATGAACCGATCTGAAGTTGACCCGACCCAAACCCGATCTGGACTCGACAAATCTTGACCCGAATTTGACCCCACCTGAAAGTGATCCGATCTGACCCGAAGCGGATAAAAGGGTAATTTTGAACCGAATATATCCGACCCGAATAGACCCGACCCAAACTCCATCAGCTTATCCGAATTGACACCTCTACCTACTACCTAAGATTATTCGGTTAATCTGATCTAATTTGTTTAAGTACTCTTACTTATTTTTGCACTTTATTACATACTCGGATACTCCTTATAGTACTTTGATCAATGTTAACCATTGGTCAAAGCTTTTGCATTGGCAATATGCTGGTCAAGTTGAGACACAAACTTATAATGAAAAAGTAGAGGAAATATTTCTTTTTATATACTCTATATATGAAAAGTACATAATTTTTTTTTAATTATGAAATTAGTGAAATTTAATTACCGTAAAAGCATGTAAAATAAAAATATACCAAGTATCAATTAATTTAATTTGATCAAAACTGAAATATTCTCTCCGTCCTAAATTAGTTACAACAGTTGACTTGCACAAATTTCACGTATATTAATTGTCTTTATGTCCTATCAGCTGGTAATTGATTGGCACATAATTTTAGAGCAGGAATCCAAGTTGTCTTCCATTAAGAAAGAAAAATAGAAAAAGAATTCAATTTCCCTCATCAATAAGGAGTATATATATATATGTGCACTATGGCATGAACCTTCAAACTTAGTATAATTTCCATTATAGCTTAAAAGTCAAGTACCTAAAACATCAAAAAATATATAAAGATGAAGCTCTCAAATGCAGCTATTCTTATAATTACCCTAATCCTATGCTCTACCTTGCTTGATATCACTAATGCCGATCTCTCACCTCAGCCATCTGCTCAATCTCCTACTTCCTTAGCAACTGCTCCAGGTAACTTCTCCACCTACTTTACTTTTACATTTTTTTTTGCTCTACTACATCAACATGTCATTACTAAGTTATCAATTTAAAGGGTAAATACAACAATTCATTAATTTAATGTTTATAACTTTATATGTTTAATTGAAAGATATTACTTTCTCTTATCTGTCTCATAAAAATCTTGCCCCTATTCGTTTCGAGTTGTTTCATATTTTATTCACTATTTTTCTTGATACTATATGTATTATGGTACTATATGTATTATGTGTACACGATAACTTATAAAATTTTAATTGTAATTAAGTAAAAGAAACATTAGGAAGTCATCATCACGACCAGGCTGGGGAGTATATTTGTGTGTGTAATAGTAAGTAAAATGAAGTTTGTGGCATGGAACAAAGAAGTTTTGTGACAAACTAAGAACTATGTTTGTATAAAAAAAAACACCACCGCACTGTAAATTATTGTAAGTCCGTCTCATATAAAATTTTGCCATTTGCCGTACTCTACATCTTCTCTTATGAAATTGTGCGTGTAGGATTTTGCAACAATAAATGTGGAGTAAGGTGCGCACTAAAGGGGATAAACTCAAGGTGTATGAAATATTGCTTGATGTGTTGTGGGAAGTGCAGCTGTGTTCCTTCTGGGACTTCCGGTCATTTGGATGAATGCCCTTGTTATAGGGACTGGAAGGCCCCAAATGGCAGGCCCAAATGCCCTTAATTTTATGTCATTTTCCTTTTATTAAATAAATAATTATGCCATCTGTTATAGGCAGTATTCTCTGTATTGTCCTATCTATATATATATATTCCATCTTGTGTTCCAACATTTTTCAAGTCGAGTAATCGTTTTTGTTGCTATAAATGAAATTGATATGTAACATGTATTGTTTGGGGTAATTTAACCCCAGCCACGTGGCCCAATGGCAGCGCGACACGTGGCATCTCGCCATTGGTCAGCAGGGCTCCAATCCCCTGCTGACACGTGTCCTAGGAACCCTAAATGGGGAACTAATGCTCCCCACTATAAATAGTGGGGGAATCCTCATTAATGGGCATTCAATTCCGGACAATTCAATACTATCATAAATACATTTTACATTAAAACCGAGCAATCTTAATTGCAGAATTCTCCCATTACGCGAGAAGTAATTACTTTTTTACGCACTTTCTTCCTCCCGTACATCACTGACTTGATCGTCGGAGGCGGAGCTCCACCCAACCGGAATCTTCGTGGTTTTGCAGGTACAGGCGGTTGAAGGGCATTCTTGGAATTGTAACTCTCCCGCAGGACACATCAAAAAACCCCGAAACATTTGGCGCCGTCTGTGGGGAGAGTACTTCTGAGATGGCTTCTAACCCTGTACCACCGGATCAGGACAGGCGGCCATCGGCTAAGCCTGAGGTCCAGACGGACCATGAAAGCGGTGATGAGTACGAACTCAACACCTATGTGGCCCCAGACGGGTCCTTCAGAACAAAGCACACCCGTTCCAGGGATAAGAAGGAACGAGAAAACATCCAAGTTGCTCCAAGCAACCCAGCCGGCAACATGGTTGGGGCTGCCCAGGCAGAGGATTCGGCTCCCGTTACTAGGAACGTACTCATGACCTTCATGAATAGTTTCAAGGGAGAAATCCAGAACCTCATCCGGTCAGCTACTCCCAAGAAGAGTCAGCCGGCCAGGAAGCCTTCTAGCAAGAAGGCTATTAAAGACCGGGTCCCTACCCCTCATCCAAAGCCGAAGGAGGGGGAGGGCCTTCGGTTCGATCAAAATAGGCTCCGCTTCCCGCAAACAGAGCCCAGAAAACCCATCCGACACTTGCAGCCGGATGGTTCAAAAAAGGTGTTTTCTGACGCCCGGACGTTTCTCCAAGAGAAGAGAAGTCTGGTGTCTGCGTCGGCTTCAACGTCGATCTTTCCTGATAGTTTTCGTGACACCTCTAACAGGCGTACGGGAACAAGTCTAGGGAATAAGACGGGCGAACCATCCGCCCGGTCTGGACCCAAAGTGATCCAACCTGGTCTGTTCGGCTCGCCGAATGGGCTGGGTGGATCCCCTTTTACCCAAACGGGTCCGTTTGGCAGAAATGTGCAGCAGCCGTTCCAACTCATGGATTGGCAGCAGCGCCTGCTAAACCTGGGAGAACAACCCTCGGCGTTCTCCCCTGAGATAACCCAGGCGGCACAGCCGGCCAAGATAAAAAACGTGTTGGTAGGGGCCTACGATGGTACTTCCAACCCAGAAGATCATTTAATGGCCTATTCCAACCTCATGTACCTACAGGGGTTGGATGATGTCGTCTGGTGCCGATGCTTCCCGGCTACTCTGAAGGGCATTGCCCAACGGTGGTTTGGTAACTTACCAGCCGGCTGCATCAACAGCTTCAAGACCTTGGCGTACTTGTTTACGCCAAACTTCTCAATGAACATCCCATCTAAAAAGACAAGCCTCGATCTGGGGGCAATACAGCAGGGTGACAGAGAAAGACTCCGGTTGTATGTCAGGCGGTTCAATCTGATGAGAATCCTGATTCAAGGACTGTCTGATGAGGTGGCTTACACAGACTTCTTTAAAGGTCTGAAGGATGGGTCGACTTTCAAGTTTGACCTCGTCCGGAAAAGGGTAGCCACCCTCCAAGAGGCGTTAATGGAAGCTGAAGCCTACATACAGGCGACGGAGCTTTGTGCTGTAAAGCAACAGTCGGATTTCAAAAAATCCGACAGAAGAGACAGCCGGCCACAACAACAGCAGCCGGCTAAAAAGGAAGAAAAGAAGAGAAAGGAGGTCTGGGCGGCAGACCGATCTGGTCAGCCGGCTCAGAAGCTCAGACGGAAATCTGAACCGTACGTCCCCAAGTACGAGTTCACAAAGGACTGCTCCTCCATCCTCATGGAGATCAAGGACCGGATGTCTCTCGACAAGCCGACTGTTATGAAAAGTCCCGTAGGCAGCCGGGACAAAAGCAAATACTGCCAGTACCCTGAGGATGTTGGCCATGACACTAATGGTTGTTATAGCCTCAGGCGGCTATTAGACCGTCTGGCCGATGAAGGGGCTCTAAAGTCTTACCTGCCCAAAGCTAAGGGCAACACCCTGGCCAAGAAAGGGTAGGCGGCAAAAGCTGTTCTTGCAAATTCAGAAACGGATGAAGAGACAATCTTCACAATAGCAGGCGGCTTTGCCGGTGGGGGTCCCACTATCCGGGGCACCAAAGACAACATCAGGAAGCTGGTTAACTCAGTTGAGGAGACCCAGGCGTCGAAAGACATATTTTCTGAGGTCCTTATTTCTGAAAAGGACCGGGGCAAGGTTAGACGGCCTCACGATGACCCCATAGTCATCGAATGCAAGGTTTCCAATAAGAGAGTTGGCCGGATCCTAATAGATACCGGGAGCTCGTCTGACCTAATCAGCTATCAATGCTTGACCAAGCTCAAGTACAAATCCAGTAGCATGCACCAGGCGCCCCACCCGCTTGTTGGCTTTGGGGGAGGTGTAGTGCATCCGGTAGGGAGCATAGATCTTCCAATCCGGCTGGGTGAAAAGGGGGAAGGACGCTATATGGTGATTAAATTCCTGGTTGTAGAAGAGCTTGCCGCCTACAACATGATTTTTGGCCGTCCGACCCTCAATGAGTCCAAAGCTGTCATTGTTCCTTCTCTCATGCTTGTAAAATTTGAAAAGGACGATGGTACAGTCGGTTCCCTTAAAGGGGACCAGAGGACGGCTAGGGAGTGCTATCTCTATGACGTCAGACCTACTATGGGGGCAGCCGGAGATGGCAACCCCATAGACCTTGATAACTATGATGCAGCAGTCCCGGCTCCAAGGGCAGCCGGTAAGAAAAGAAAGGCGGGCCAAACGGACCCCGTCAAACAAGAAAAATAGCAATCACTAGCCGGGGAAAGGTCAGATGATCAACGACCTCAGCTGGCTGGTGACTGCATTGATGTCGTCTTTGACGACAGCCGTCCTGATAGAACTGTCAAGGTTGGGATGGTTGCTTATGAACGGTTGGGAGAAGACTTGCTCCAACTTCTAAGAGAATCCAAAGATATCTTTGCCTTTGAAGTGGAAGAGATGCCAGGCGTCAGCCCGGATCTAGCTGTCCACAAGCTTGCCGTGGATCCTAAAAAGAAGCCGGTTAGGCAGAAAAAGAGGGACCACGGTGAAGAGAGATCTCAGGCGGAGCGGCTGAGGTCAAAAAATTGTTAGAAGCTGGTTTCATCCGTCAATGCTACTACCCGGATTGGGTAGCAAACGTTGTCCTCGTGAAAAAGCCGAATGGTACCTGACGGATGTGTGTAGACTACACAGATCTAAACAGAGCATGCCCAAAGGACAATTACCCGCTTCCAAAGATCGACAATCTGGTCGACTCTACAGCCGGTCATGCTCTGATGAGTTTCATGGATGCCTATTCAGGTTTCCACCAAATACCCCTATGGAAAAAAGATCAAGAGAAAACGGCCTTCGTCACTGATCAGGGGTTATTTTGTTACAAGGTGATGCCGTTTGGGTTAAAGAATGCGCCGGCTACATTCCAGCGCATGATAAACACCGTCTTCATCAATCAGATTGGCAGGAATGTAGAGGCGTACATTGACGACATGATAGTCAAAACCAAGCTGCAGACAGATCACCTACTGGACCTCCGAGAAACATTCACCACACTCAGGCGGCACCGGGTCATGCTTAACCCAAAGAAGTGTGTATTTGGTGTTGAGTATGGGAAGTTTCTCGGATTTTTGATTGATCAAAGGGGCATAGAGGCTAATCTGGAAAAAGTGCAAGCGGTCATAGACATGCGGTCTCCTCGCACTGTGAAAGAAGCCCAGAAATTGACCGGTTGCCTGGCAGCGTTGGGAAGATTTCTCAGCCGGTCAGGTGACAAGTGCCTCTACTTCTTCCAGGCCATCCGGAAGAGGTCCAGATTTGAGTGGGGTGAAGAGGCGGAAATGGCATTCCAAAAGCTAAAGCAACATTTGCACTCGTTGCCAAGGATAGTGAGCCCCCTGCCCCGGGAGGTCCTTTACATGTACCTCGCCGTCACTGATCATGCCCTCAGTGCCGTTCTCCTCGCTGAGAGAGACGGTAATCAACTGCCGGTGTATTTCATCAGCCATGTGCTTAAGAATCCTGAACTCTGGTACCCCATGATCGAAAAATTTGGGTTGGCCCTGTTCGTCGAAGTCAAACGGTTGAAACCTTACTTTTTGGCTCACCCAGTGATTGTATATACGGACCAGCCGCTCAAGCGCCCAATGACCACCATCGAGTCATCCGGCAGAATGATCAAGTGGGTTGTTGAGATACAAAGCCTTGAAATAACTTTTGAACCCAGGCGGGCAGTGAAAGGTCAGGCGTTTGCCGACTTCATTGTCGAGATGACTAGGCCGGTGCAACCGGAAAATCCTGATCAGGTTTGGAAGTTATTCGTAGACGGTAGCTCTACGGTGAACGACTGTGGTGCAGGTGTCATATGCCATTCTCCGGAAGGGGATAAGTTTGAGTATGCACTACGGTTCCGGTTCCAAGACTCTAATAATGAGGCAGAGTATGAAGCCCTGCTAGCCGGTATACGCATGTGTAAGGCAGCAGGGGCAACAAAGATCGCCGCCTGCTCTGACTCTCAATTGATTGTTAGCCAGTACAATGGTGACTAAGAGGCCACCCATCCGGCTATGATCAAATATTTGTAGGCGGTCAGAGAGGAGGTCGCGTTACTTGACGAATTTCATCTAAGTCAGGTGCCCCGGTCCGAGAAAAATCAGGCGGATGCCCTTTCTAAGTTGGCATCATCCGCCTCCTGTGATGCACCTAGA